ATCGTTGGTTTGGTCGATCAGGTCTGATTAATGTGCAACCTATATCAATACACACGCATTATATCTAAGAAGAGCCAGATCATAACTTCAAGTTTCTTAAATACATCAAAATCAGAATATATTACGAATAGAAAGCACTATTTAAATTAAAAAATTTTAATTAAAGAATATTCTATTTAGGAGTATATACTCCACGTTATACATCCTTTTTTTTTAATAAAAAAATTTTAATAATTCATAGTTTATATATTTATTGTAGGTGTTAGAAGATAGAAAAACTTTTTTTTAACTTAAATTTATCAGAATATTATTTGTTCCTGATATATTTATTAAGTGTGACAAAAATACTTTCAAAATTTAATTAATTTTCAAATTGTGTATGTATTGTGGAACACGATATAAATTGTAAATAATTATCAAGAATTGTTTGAAGCTTATTACGGCTGCCAATCATCCTATTTCATTCAATTTTGTAATTTCGAATCTTCAATCTATTGAACTTTAAATCAAGTGAAAGTTTAATTTTTATTAAATACTTTTAAAGTATTTAGTAATTGTTTGGTGAATTTGTTTTTTAAAGTATATTAAATTTATTTAAATTTGTTTTCTACAATGAATATATTGAATTTCTCGTACTCTAGGGAATTTTATTACCCCAACAGTATAGTATTATAATATAGCTTAATTTAGCAGCAATAATATTTGTCTAAAAAGAATAAAGTCTAAAAGGAAATGAAAGACTTTGGTGGATTTTATAAAACCAGATTTTTATACACTAATTAAGAAAGGATTTTGCAAAATAAAAGGATAAATAATGTCAAATAATAGTTTAAAATTAAAAAATTCAATACAGATTAAAAATGTATTAGTCATAAAGTATGATTTGTAGGATATAAAAGTTTTGCATATCATTATAAATATGGCTATTTAATACACAATATTATTAACTATTAAGAATATTATCAACGTAAATGAATACAAAACTTTACCTTATTCTTTCCTCTATTTTGGTTCATAAAATAACCATTGATTTAGGAAATATTATAGTCTTCCCTACCTAATGCTGCAAGAGAACAATATCTTTAAAAATTGCTAAAACTTTATAAGGAAATACAACTGCCTTGAAGGAAAATAAAGTTATAAATTTAATAACGAAATAGCAAAAATCTGTCTTGAATTAAAGAGAGCGAAATGACAAACAGGAAACAAAATAAGTGGAGCAAAATAAAGGAGGAAACATAAGAAAAACTCTTTATCTAAGTTATAATATTGAAAAAAATTATAAAAGAGAATGAGTTAGAGGAATATAAGATCTCATTAAATGTAAAATTATTATTGTATACAAAATATGAGAGACTAATGTTTTAATAAATAAAAGTACCTAATACCTATATATCTGAAATTTTATTATTAATATATAAAATACAAAAATGTTGAAAATAATATATAATAAAATGAAATAAAGATGAAAAAGAAAGAAAAATTTAAGAATATTCAATTACATAATACCCTTTCTATTATATGTGTGCGTGGACAATTCATTCTTCTCACTTGATTCTTTATGTTCTGAATCTACTTATTCAAATTTATTCATTCTCTCTCTCTCTCTCTCTCTCTCTCGTTTATGTTTATACCTTTTTAAGGTTCACCACCGTTTCATCTTTTATAAATTCAATATATATATGTATCTTTGTTTAAATTTTATGACTGAATAATTCTAGTTCTGGGTATAATAAATGAATGATAATCATGCAAACTTAAAGAACATATAGAATTTGGTATGAATAATTATAGCTTAGTATAAGTAAATATATAGGACATATCCCTTTTTTATCTTATGGGCTTTAATTAGTACATGTACACGCTGTGTATACATACATACATACATATATATATATAATGTGTTTTTTTTCGCACACATCTCAGTTTCTGGATTACAGTCTGTACTGAATGAAACTATTAGTATATTATCTCATTAAATTAAATTGCAATTGATACTAACTTGAGAATATTTTATTTCACTATAGAATAAAATGAGACTTGAGTTAGACAAACTTCACAACAGCTATATTACTTTTTAATTCATGAGAGCTACTTATCAATTACCGATATACTATTAACGTAATTATTTTATTTAAAATATACGACTGATATTATTAAATTATATCGTTATTAAAAATACATTAATTATACTAGAAAAATGTTTAAGTCATAAATCCCATAAAATATTATTATAATTATAAATATTATTTAAATTTTAATTATGATTATTATAAACTAAATATACTTTGCTTAAGCTAATCATGTATTGAATAATTATTTCTTAAAATTAAGAGATTTAATAACAAATTTTATTTAATGCTACAAGCCATCACGTAATTCTCCATTTGTATTGTTGTATGAAAGTGGTTAAATAATTTTTATCTTTTAAAATCCATATGTCAATGCTATTTTTTATTTATTAGGCTCAACAAAACTTCGTACTTAGTCTGCAAATTATATTTGAAGAAAAACTTGAAGGGGCAAAATGTATTATCTTTTCATAATTATTATTAAACCTAAAAATCTAGAAAATTTAATTTATTTGAATTTTTGTTATTAACGCCATTAAAATATTATTATATTTTTAAATTATATAAATAATTAATATTTCAGTTTGAATAATAAAATGAAGTAACTTTATAACTTTTTTTTATATATTTGGATGCTTTATCTAGTTAATTTTGTATTCAAATATATATTTAAATTAAATATAAATGAAATGAGATTTTTAATTATAAAATATTAAAAAGAAAAATTTGTAAAACATAATGTCATAGGATAAAATACAAATTCTTATTCATAAGTACTTTGGAATATGTTGTATAAATTATTATGATAAAAAAAATAAAAATATTTTTCTTTTTAAATAAATGGAAATATTAGTTCTTCTAGTAATATTTTAGTTGTAAATGAAGCTGTATAATTTATTTGATAATTATCTTGATAATTTTATGCCATTTTCATAAATTTATTCTGAATTGCATTATTGTTTTATTATATATATTTAATTAGGACGACGATAATACGTATTGTTGTTTATTTATATTGCATATGAAAAATATTACAAGGTATTTTTTGTAATTTATAAAAATACTATAAATCTGCGTGACAAATATATAAAATGATATTTTTTGGTATCATTCGTTTTCAAAATTATAATAATGTATTTATTTTTCATAATTTTATTTATAATTTTTATAATAAAACTATTGTATCTGTTCTAAATTTCTTTAAACTTTAATCAATTTGATATTGATTTTTTTTAGATGAATATTTTTATTGTAAATTTTTTTCTTATGTATGTACGATTTATGCGTGTTGATGCAGTCGTATGCATACGCATATATTTTTATATATCTAATATTACGAATATATAAAAAATAATTGAAGGAAATAATAATTGGATTAAAAAGTATATACATTTCATTCCAACAGTATTTACGAAAAATCGTTTCATAGATTTGTTCATTTTATATGTTGATATTGAATGTAATGAACTAATGATGCCAAATGCCATTGACGTAGATATAAATTGAAGTAAATGATTTTAAAACATAAAACCAGCTTTCAAATATGTAATATTGAATATTTGGAGTATTTATATAAATTTATCATATTATTATACTCTTCATTTTTTGTGAAGTATAATTTTAAGTAATGCAATCTATTCCACTGAATGATAATAAATTAAAGAAGATGATCGAGTCGATAAGCAAATAATAAAATACCCAAACCTAAAAACTATACAAAAATACGATAGTCTCCCACTCTACACTGAGATAGCTACAATATCATAAAGGTATGAATTATACTATTAATCACTAAATTAATAAGAAAATTATGTACTTAATAAAAAAATCAGTACATTTAAAAAAAATTAAAAATCAATGCTATTAAAACTATTATATTATTAGAAAATATTTAAATTTTACATATTTTAGTGTTACTTTAAAATTTAAAAATTTATGAATTTACTACAGAGACCAATTATTATAATTTTTTTTTGAAAATTTTAAAGCGCTAATCTCAATAATATAATTGACAATTCAAGTTTCTGCCGCAAAATTCTTAATCAACACCGAATGAAAAACCTTTAATTAGTCAAATAAACAGTTAATGAAGATAACAATAAATAAGAATAAAATGAATTTTATAGCCACTATGAATTGAGTAAAATATTTTATATTATTAATGTGACATTATAGTTATACTGGTCATTTGATCTATAAATTATTCCATGAAGATTGAATTTCTAGTTTATGTATCTTTTATAATTTAATATTTTATAATGAGAATTAGAAAAGATATGTTCTTGAATACAAAATGAAATGTTTTCAAAAAAAGTTATTTTATAAGCTAATTCTAAAAAATATATATTTCATGTTTAAGTATTTTTATTTTAAAATTTAAGATCCTTAGGTAATGATAACATTAATTTATAATTTTCTTATTTTAATATAATTAATGTCATTAATAAAAAATTAAACAAAACGCTAAAAATATCATTTAAAAATAGAATAGAATTATATGGCTGCACTCATTGAAATAAGTAGTAAATATTAATTAATAAACATTAAGTAAGTTATTGTGACCTGCATAAATTTCATTTGGAGGAAATTTGAATGAAGTATAATAATTACAATATATGCATTCATTATTACGGATAGTATAAAAACGCGCCAAGAATTTGCAAGTATAGGGTATCTTGAAGCATCAATTTTGATGTGATAGTGATCATTAAAGGGAGAAGTAGTTTTAACTATCATCAGTGTAATTGGTTGGATGGGTGGGAGGATCAAATAATTTATTCTCGGCAGTATAAGCTTTACATCAAACGTATATGAGTGTTATACGTGCAAAAGTGTCTGTGATATACTGCGTAGGTGATATATTATGACAATGTGATGTAAAAGTTATGAAATAATATTGATAATTTTACCATATTAACCAATTTTTAGGATTCGCATGGGTAACCTTAGTTACCAATGACTCATATTCCCTTGGAGCACTCGTTTTGGCACACTCACTACGTCGCGTGCGTACTCAACACGATTTAGCTGTTCTTATAACACCAGGCGTTACCGAATCCATGAGGTATGCATATGCTGATTATTAATCGTTTGCAAATAAAATATTACATAAACATATTACATATAAATAAATTAATATTAAACAATCATATATAGAATATAATAAGGATTTAGTACTAGTTTCTTAAATTGAAGATATTGAAACATAATCAGAAATATTTATATTAATAATAAATAGTTATATTACTACAATCTGTTTTACTTGAAGAATTTTATTTTTGATAATATTAAATAAATTTTATATTATTTTAGAGAAAAATTGGCATCAATATTTACTTTAGTGCAAGAAGTGAATTTATTAGATTCAAAAGATCAAGAAAATTTGGAAGTTCTTCGAAGGTCAGAATTAGGCATCACATTTACTAAATTGCATTGTTGGCGACTTGTTCAGTATGATAAATGTATTTTCATTGATGCTGATACTCTCGTAAGTAACGATTCATATACAAAACTGAAATTTTAAATTATTACAACTGATTTGATATTTAATTAAAACTATACTGATATCTGTTGTATGGACATGGATACAATCAATCAAACTTTCTCGAAATAACATTAAGATATTGTTTATTTCTTTTTTATATTAAGAATATTTATATTTTCTGCGATTTAATTTACTTCAATTTAATCGCCTTTCTTTAACAATATACTGTTAAGAGTAATAATGTAAGGAGTTTTATTTGAAAATTTTATTTTTAACAAAGTATAATAGTACAAATTAAATATAAATTTAATAAAGCTAAATAATTACGTAAATATTACATTTTAATATATAGCCATATAAATAAAATTTCTTTATATATAGTGGCTGAAACTTACTAAAAGTGTTCATAAAATTCTTGAAATACCTGTTTTTAATAAAAAAATTATATAATTTTAGATTATACAATTTTATTATTTAAAATAATTTAGATTATACAATTTTACTATTTAAAATAATTTAAAACAAACCTTTCCAAATCCTTATGGTATAAATTTCTTAATAATTCTGGGATAAAATCATTTAAATGAAAATTATATAATACTTAATAAATTAATTATTTACAATAAGAAATTAACATTTAAGAATAAGTTAATAATGTCACTAAGTTGAGGTAGTTTGGTATTGTATTTAATACTTTATAAAATTCTTGGAATTCTTTGCAATATAGTAATAATCGTAATATAGTTTAAATTATTTTTATTGTTTTAATTTAAATACATCATAGTTAAAACTGAAAGTACAATTTTTAATTTGATATTGCTAAATAAAGAATATGTAAAGATTATCTTAAGCTATAGTCAATTTTCCAGTTAACTATTGTGAGTGCTTTTCAGGTTATTAGGAACTGCGATGAGCTTTTTGAACGCGAGGAGTTGTCTGCGGCACCAGATGTTGGTTGGCCTGACTGTTTTAATTCTGGTGTTTTCGTATTTCGACCATCCCAAGAAACATTTAACTCCCTTATGAGATTTGCTGCAAATAAAGGCTCATTTGATGGTGCTGATCAAGGACTTTTAAATATGTACTTTAGTGACTGGGCTCATAAAGACATGTCAAAACATCTACCTTTTATTTATAATATGTGCTCTACTGCCACTTATTCCTATGCGTCAGCATATAGACAGTAAGCCTTATAATTATTCAAATAATTAAAGAATATTCTCTCTTATATTATTTTTTATTCTTAATATTAGTTTATTGTAAATTCTTTTCTTCCAAATTAATTTTTTGTAGAAAAATATAATTATTTAATGTTCTTAAAAATTTTTTTATGCAATGTATATATATATATATATATATATAAATATATTTAAAGTAAAAATTTATTTACAAATTAATTTAATTTCATTTTAATTTATTCTCAAAGTAAAATCAATACTTATAATTAGATAGAATGCGTATTAGCACTATATAAAAAGGGAATGTAACAGTATTAATTATAAATATAGATTTTATGGAAACTATATAAAATTAAAGATTTTTATTTGGAAGAGCCTTTACATATAAATCAATCAATTTAAATAATCTTATAATAACAGATATGGTGAAAATGTGAGGATTGTTCATTTTATCGGTGCAACCAAACCATGGTTGCTGTACTTCGATACTGTAACTGGTATTGTTCACCCGCCCCCGGGCTGTAATCATTTACAGCCACTTTTGCAAATCTGGTGGAATATATTTTGTGACAATGTGCATTCTCAACTTACTAATACCATGGTAAGTTTAAATATTTTAATAAGAGAATTAAATTTTAACATTTCTTTATTTTATTGTATCAGTATTTTTCATAAATATATATATTAACACTACATTTATTATTTGTATATTAAACAGAAATTCAACAATATTTTAACAAAATGATCTTTTAAACTAATTTCTATTCATTCTTTCTTTAAGAAATCCTTAAAGGTCGGAATTTAAATGCTTTCAAGTATATATAGTTTCATTCCGTATACAATTATTTCTTCGTATTTAAGCGTTAATTATATTTAGAAACTTTAAGTTTAAACGTAAATAAATTAAATTAAAACTTAAAAAGAATTATCAAATTAATATATTTTTTATTAATACATTTTAAATACTTAATTATCAAAGGTATTATAGGTACTTTGAATCCTTTGCAGTTTTAACTCATGCATAATTACAAATGAATAATGTAGATTTTGTTGTTGAGTAACTGTTTTTGGGTTTATTTAGAATTATATTTACTTCGAACATTTAAGTAAATTTCTTTAATTATTTAATATTCTTTTTTTATTTCAATTAATTTAAATTCAAATATTTCACGTTGAAAATGTTTATCGGTAAAATATTAATTGTCACTAACAAAAATTTTCTTAATCATACAAATCATTAATATGTATAACACTAAATTATCATAATTATTTTAACATAATTTTTATTTAGATTAAATATAATCATAGTTATCCATTATTCTAAAAATGAATGGAAATAGTTTTTAATAGTAATCTAATGATATTCTATTTTTCAATAATATATATTTGTTTATTAAGATAAGAAAATTAGATATTGAGTTGTTACTAACAAAATAGTATGCCTTTTTTATTTTTACTTGATGCTTAAAATTGATCTAATTTTAAGTTTTTTTTTAAACATTATAATTCCGAGAAAATATCATTGACCTACATATCCCTGACCAAAATATACGGTAAAATAAGTACAAAATCATGAAATTTTTCAGAAATAAAAATTCTTTGGAATAATTAATGAGATAGCATAATTTACTTATACATAAAGTATACAATCAACTGACCATGACGAACAGTATTACTATAATTCTAGAGTAAACTATTAATACCTATATTAACTAGTATCTCATAACCAATGCGGAGCAGAAACACCACCTCCATCACATCATCATCGATTCATCAGAGTAGCAAGAATCAATAGGATTGCAATTTATTATATTTTTATGAAACTTTTCAGGCTTCGCATCAAGAGAATTTGTCATTTAAAAATGAAATGAATCAATCATTTATGGAGAATCATCGTGCAACTCGAAGATTGGCACTTGAACAAGATTGTATGGACGAAAGTGAAATAATTTCAAAATTAGGTTTCATTAATTTTGATGACATATGTACTTATTGCGATTTTTATCAAAACTTTTATAGTCAAATTGAGAACCATAATCATGACAGCGATCAGCAAAAGAGTTATACAGATCATTTCATTAATAATCGAAATAAGAAAAATCAGTTTAATATTTTAAATTTTAAAAAACCCGTGACTACTACTTTAATTGACAGTAGCCAAATTTATAACGAAAACAATTATTGTAACCAAATATATACTGACGTGCACATTCCTAGTTCCTCATACATCCCAGGCCCTTGTACAGATCCTAATAAAGTAGCAACGCAATCCGAATCGAATGCCTCGTCACATGTAGAACATGCAAACGTAAGTAGCTTTTTTGCTTTATTTACATTCAAATAATATTCTTTGCAAGCAAAACAGTTGTTATTTTTCAAGATGTTTCGCTACATTTAATGTTAAATACTAATATATGTTTCCTAAGTAATAATCCTATTTGTTAATGAAGATGTTTATTTTTTTATAAATATGCTAATTAATTTTTTAATAATTAAAATTATGCTAAGTATATTTAATAAATATAAAAAAGTTATAATACAATTTTTATTCGTTTTCAGGTTTATTCTATGTTTCTTTATAACTACAACGATTGCAGTTTATCTTACTTTGAATTGTTAAAGCTATCAATATAAAATTATAAATCACGACAAAAATGTTTATTAAATAAAAAAGAGATTTTGAAAACAATTCCTTATTAATAACTTTAATTTTTAATTATTAGTTTATATTCTTATTTAATATACTTCACAGCAATATGAGATAATATTAAATATATGAAAATATGTTATTTAGTCATAATACAAAACTTAAAATATATAAAAAACATATTTATAAAATATTTATAAGTTTTTGATCTGTTACTGTAATATTAAATTTTTAATTATATTTTCAATGCTTGGTGTAAGAATAATAAGCTGTATATTTAAATATATGTTTTATTGATATATAATTTTTTTTTTAATAAATTATAAAATATATATTTTTATAATTATTAAAAAATATTATTAAATACCTTAATGTAATCGCTCTAACCGTTCTAAGTAAGATGCATACAATTTTTTAAAGAAATTTATAATTTTTTTATGAATGTACCAATGTTTAGTAAAAATCCAACCGTATCATATATACGTATATATGGTGCGTGTGGATATATATATATATATATATATATCATTAATGGTGCAATATATTTGTACGAATAATTAATAAAATATAAGAATATATATATGGTTTATTTTATTGAAAGCAATAGGTCAATTCATTTAAGTATTAATGATTTTAATCTGTTAAAAATAATTGACTGGTTAATTGATGTAAATTTATTGTAAACAAAAAATGTTACTTTGTTTTTAAGATTTTTATACATCTTCTTTAGGGAGGCTTAGCAGGTGCATTATCGAAACTTACATTGGGTGAATGTCGAACTGATGAGCAGCAAGCAATAGAAGATCACATTCGTAAACAAAACTGGGAACAAGGTTACATTGACTTTATGGGTCGAGACAGTTTTGATAATATTTTGAAAAAAATTAATGAAACTTTAGCAACAGCGCCTGGAATAACATCACCAATTACAGTAACAAAATTTTTTTAAAATACAATTTATTTTCTTTAAATCTAATTAAATATAAATATTTGAATAATTAAATTGGAACTGTAAAAGATTTATCAAATAAAATATTAATCGAGCATATTCTTAAGAATTGTCTACATTTAAAAAATGATATTATAAATGACCTTGTTCACGATAAATTAAAAATTATTGATTTAACTAGAATATAACAAATTTTATAATTATATAATTTCAATGATATTAAAATAGTAATTTTACATTTTTAGAAACGTCATTTTCATTGATTTTCAAATAAAAATAAATATTTTAGTTTTACATGACAAAAAAGATAAAATAATATATTATTACTAGAATTAACACAAAGTCAAATTGCTTTAATTAGATAGTAATTATTATGATGTATATGGAAATATTTTTAATTACTTTAATCAAAATAGCTTTAAAATAAAAATTGAAATATAATTTGAATTTTTTTATTACTAGTTTCATATTTTTCAAATACACTTATGCAAATTTAGTAAACTGATAAATTTGATCATTTTATTTGAATCTCTTGAAAATACTTACGGAATAATTTTTTCTAGGAAATTGAAGAATCGCAAGAAAATAGCAATAACAGAGTTGAAATACAGGAAATTGCAGTGGAAAGCAAACCTATCTCGCCTGGTACATTAAATTGAAATGCAATATAACCTACCAAATGATAGCCAATTCAAATAATGTAATACAATAAAAAGTTAAAAATTATTGCAAAAAGAAAAATAATATAACAATCGTATAAGTTTAGACTTTTTTAAAAGCTCACATACATGTGCATGTGTGCGCAGATATTTAACGTATATCTAAAATTAAGTAAAACAATTACATTATTTGAAAATCATATTAATTGTACTGCTGTCTCATTATGACTATCATTTAATAAATATTGCAGATGTGATTCTCTTTTTAGATGTATTTTAAAAAATCTATTTTATGATATCTAACATCTATGTAAAAAATCTAAAATAGGTTGATTGAATAAAATTGGAGCTTAACTACTTTTTTTTACCTTTTAATATATACTATAAATCATTAACAAAATAATAATATTTTTATTTGAATAGTTAATATATAGAGCATTAAATTATAGATTATAATAAAAAAAACACTGTAAACAAATTTACATTATATAATAACGCAAATATAAATTCTTAGTTGAACAATATTATTTTTTAATTAAAGTTTCTAATTCCATACTGTATCAAATTTCTCTCTGTCTCTGTCTGTCTGTCTCTCTCTCTCTCTCTCTCTCTCTCTCTCTCTCTCTCTCTCTCTCTACCCCCCTATTTCTCTCTGTGCACACATTTATATAATTCGAAGTATATTTAATATTATTAATTTATAAAAGATTTATTTTAAATTTCACTTGCATCAACATAAAAATTACTATTAATATTACGTTCATTTGACAGAATTAATTAAATTTAACTTTTCGAAACAGGAGCTGAGGATGGCAATTAACACAACCTGCTGTCAATGTCATTACTGTTTGTTTTATTATCCTCTTAATATATTGAGGTAAGCATTTTAGAAGCTACTAAAAAATTATTTGTTTAAAGCAGTATGTTATTGCATTTTAAATTTAACACTTTTTTTTCTAAAATACTTGAAAAATAAAAAAAATTTGTTATAGAATAATAACTGTATGATTTATGCATTAGCTGATAGATTGCCAAGTAAAACATTGTTATATGATATTATTTTTAAGCTGCTACCGAGCTTCATTTATTTTTTGTTAATTAATCTATTATAATGCATAATAAATTACTATATATATTATTAATTGAATATGTATTGTAATATCATTATATAATAATTTCATTATTAATACCCAAATTATTAAATTTTACACCATAATTTATAATTAAGAAAAATTAATATTTACTCAAATTAAACGTAAGTTCTTTTTATAAAATTTTTAAATCATTTTTTTCATTATAAATTTATAAATTAAAATGATCAATTTATTATGTTTTACTTTGTTCTTACATATTTATTGAACAATTTTGTATTACATGAAAGTTTTGTTATTGACAACTTATTTGTTTAGTTTATAAAATTTATGTTTCATTGTATTTTAACAATTAAGTTAAGAAATATTTAATATATATATATTTTTTTTAATGGCAGGTGATTATGTGGATTACAACTGAACAAATATAACAAAATTTGTTTAAATTTATTTAAAATTTTAGTATAAAGTAATTAAAATTGAAAATAATGAAATGATCATTAAATTATAATAAATTGTTAAGATTGCATTTGAAATTTTTTAAATACAAAATTTTTTGAACTAGTTAATAAAGGTTTATATATTAAATTATATTAATAAAAAAATTTTAGTTTAATTAAAAAAAAATATATTATTTAGTTCTAGCAGGATGTCAGACAAAATCATATGTGATTCAAGGATCATCAAGTAATACGCGTGGAAAAATTGCAAGTTCAGAAATGATTAAAATACAAATTTTTCGTCAAAAATCAAAAGAAATCATTATAATAATATAAATTATAAAGAAGCAGAATAAGTTATTCTTCGGTAATTAACAGATTTACTTAAAATGACTGGAAATGTTTAATATTTGTAACATAAATTTTAATAGATATAATTTTACTTAATAAGCACACCGATATAATTATGGTTGATATAAATGCAAGAATTTGTACCAGTTTTTATTGGATTTATAGCCACAGAATATTTTATTCCTATACAAATAGTTAAATCTGTTTTGTAAATAAATGATAAACCTAGTATCGAAGTAATTCTTTCTATTACATTTTTAACTTACATTAGATAAATTCGTTTAAACTATGTTTTTATATTTTAACGAGTATATGAAACAATTGAATATAAATGAACTATTATCACAATCTGAAGTTAAAATATTTCGATTATCACATCGATATCTGATGATTAACACCGAAAGCAAATAAAACAATAAAACGAGCCAACAATATTGAGTAAAGTGATTCCATTTCAATTCAAAATAGAAAATATTTGTCACACACGGTACATAGAAAAAATTTGATCAGCAAGTGAATTGGATGAAAAATCAGAAACAAAACTAATTCACAAGCCCACTATCATAAACAATTATATTACTACGAAACTAGTAAAGAACTCATTAATATAAAATTCACAAAAATATGAAGTTACATTAATGGCACAAAATCTTCATTTATTCCAAATAGATTTATTGTTCTAAAAATAATTAATACTTCATTTACAACACAAATCGCTTCACTGAATAATTTTTCACAGTCCTTGAAGCAAGTTTATTTACAGTAGTATAAGAAAATATTCAGGAAAAATTTAGTTAAAAACTAATTTTCATGATATAATATTTTTAATCAAAATAGTACTTAAATTCATAGAAAATGTAAGCAGTATAAGATGCAAAAACATTAGTACAATCATTTAATTTATATTCAGAACAAGCACTAGTAATTATTTCATGAGAACTTCTATGAAAATTAAAAAAGTAATTTAATTAGAACACAAATTGGAGTTTAAGAAGAGAAAAAAAAGTCGTAGAAATTTATTTTTGAATTCGCTTTAAATTCATGGATAAAATTTAAATGAATTAATTGAAAAACATTGAAATAACAAAATAACAGAAATAGCAATTATGAAAAAGATAATAACCCCGTAGAACAGAATTAATAGCATTATTATTCATAATAAATGAAAATGAAAAAATTGTTTTTGAAAATTCAGTTTTTATTGATAGTTCTGAAATTCCCCTACCATCTAAACGAAAATATAAAAACAGTCGAAGCAATGTGCGGATTGGTGAAAAGCAAGATAAGTACATGGATAAACAATCTATTGCAAGTTAATTTGAAAAATTTAATGACATTAAAATAATAATAATACTGTTTAAACTGGTAAATGAATTGTGTATATACGATCAAACTTGATCAAATATATTTTTAGAGATTATGCTATTTATGCTGCTATATTGTATTTCAAATAAAACATTGAAAATATTATTGACGAGATTTATAAATATTTTTTTAAAAATTATTTAAAAATTTTTTTATTTTCCGAAAATTTATGCTTGATACAATACGTATACTTTCATATAGTTTATTTTTATGGTACTTGTGTAATTTCATTTTAATATAAACTTTACACTTGGTTTAGAACTTCTTATCGCGAGTATTATTATAAATAAGATTAATAATTGATTAGGTATTGAACAGATGATATATTTATACACTTTTATTAAAAAGTACTTCATTACAAACTTTACTCACTTTACTTTATAAAAAGAACAAATTTATAAAATATATCCAACAAACTATGTAAATGTACTTTTTTATCCATTTACGTTTTATCCATAATTTTATACATTTAGCCATTAACGAAGAAGAACTTTTTATTATAATGCTTTCTATTAAAATTTTTTATTATTTTAGAAATATAGAACATTATCGTGTATTTTTTTATTTATCATACGTAAATTTTATTTAATGTAAAATTATATTTCTTTTTGCATTTGTTAAATTGTGCCATTACAAAAGTATTTGTTTAATTAATAAAATTCTTTTTACATAGTTAAACAAGTCGTATTAAAAATATACCTCAATTTTTGCATATCAATCAAATGAATTGTGTATTATAAAACAGATAAAAGACATTATCATTAAAAAGTTTTAAAATATAATATTAGACTAAAATTATGAGTCAGAGTTAGTTTAAGATATTCAAAAATGTATTTAATTTAAATTTTATTTTAAACTAATAATTTTATGCATTTTAATATTACAAGGATTAAAAGTATTTCAAACTTATGCTTAGTTCCTTAAATTTATTATTGTAGTATTTTAAAGTAATCGAAGAAAAAAATATCACCGTAATATTGGATACCGTGAATTTTATAATTAGCATTTAGCAAAAATGAAATAACGTTGCTCTGGAAAGTGATGTATTTTTATGTTTTTCCTGTAAAAATTTAAATATTTAACACATTAAAAATATATCCAATCATAATAGAGTTTTAATTAAAATGAACGTGAATCTGTTATATAGCTATATCTATGAATAAAGCAAATATGTATATTAACAATTTTAGGAACAAATTAATTTATAAAACAACAAGAATGTATAAATGTATAGAATTGGTAAGCAAAAATATAATGTATTTTATTAATATATTAGTATTATTATTATACGTTTAAAAATTTAATATAATTTCTTAGTAAAATATTCCAACGCTGTCTTGAATTATTAAGAATCGTCCTCCAGTACTATAAATACCCGTACATTATTTTTTATTGATGTTGCTTTATATTTTAATGAAATACTTTAAAATGAATCCCACATAATAAAACATTTTAAGAGTTATAAAATAAAATGAAATAGAGAATAAATTAATTTCTCTATACCCGTTATAATTACTGCTCAAATTAATACATAGATTTTTTGATCTGGCGCAAGACTTATTTTTTATATTAATAATAATTTAAATTTTACGAAAAAATATATATATAATAATGTGTCTGTTTATGTGATGAGAGTACCGTTAAATAAAAGTAAGGAGTTTTTAAGTTATAAAATGAACTATAAATATTAATCAATTGTACTATAATAAAAATAGTATACAAAGTAAATCACAAATATATAATACCGAGGAGAAATATTAGTCTTTAACGATAAACGTGTTGTTAATTAATATGGGAAACATTATTCATAAGGATACGTTGTAAACGAGAGCAAAACTTATTCGATAATTTTTATAAGTAATAATACGGAATTACATAAATAAAAAAATAATCGGTAATATAATCCAATTGGTATAATGTTTTCCATAAATAATTAAAAATTATATAATGTACTTTGATCAATTATATTAAATATGATTTTATAAAAATTGATTTAAAAGTCGTCATTGTAAAATTCTATCAATAACTAGTGATGAGAATCTTAACGTAATTTAGAAGACAGGGGATATCTTCAGAATACAGTTAAGGTTATGAATAAAATATTAAATAACAGCAAATCCTTACACGCTGTTAAGAAATTGAGCACACAGGGTGTATATACATTTCTTTGGGAGCATCTCTTGGGCATATTTTCTATATATGCGTACGTTACCAAGAACATCATAGTTTGTTGGTAATGCAGAATCCTTGTAATAAAGAATTTAAGAATATAATATTAGGACGACATCTATGTATGACGCGGCTAAGCCTACAATACTATATCTTATTGAGCCTTCTTATGTTATCTTGGATGCTTACAGCATTATATCATCGCATTATCATGTAATATCAAACATAACATGAGTATTTTATTATTTTTAATAATAAATTAAGAAACTTATATTTATTAATAAACATTACATTTTATTAGTTAAATAATATTTAAATAAAGTTAGAGTTAATATTAGTTAGATTTTTAGTAATTATAATAATATATAATAAATAATATATAATAAAAATAATAATAAACTAATAAAATTCGTTAATATTAATAGAGTTAATAATAAGAGCTAATAATCCTTATGAACTAAAATGTTTTAAAACTCTTTTTCAATTTCAAAATATTATCATTATAAAATATTATAAAATTTGAAACAATGAAATTAAAATTGAATATTAAAATATTAAATAATGTAGTTAAATTTAACTATATTAGAACTTTATACTTTCTTAAAATTTGGAAAATCATCTTTCTTATACAAAGTTATAAAAGTCTTTAAAAATATGCGCTTAACATTTATTTTGAAGTAAATTACCATTAAAAATATTGTTGTCTGTCAAAATTAATTTTAAATTTAATAAACTTAATTTTTTTAATAAATAAAATAAAGGTGAGACACTTGTGGAGATATTCTATAATAAATCATATATGATATGAATTTCCTAAAATAATCATAAAATTAAAAATCCAAACAAAATTTTATCCTATGAAAGTATTTCTAAATTATAAATTTTGTATAAAAAATTTATAAATAATGAAAATTCAAAAATTGTTAAATTACTTAAATATAAGTATATTATTAAAAAAAATGAAAAATTGTTTTAAAATGTATTTATTACAAAGCTCAAATCTATGATTATAAGAGATTGCTTATATAAATATATCAAATTGGAATATAGAAAATTACATATAATAAGTATACTTATCTCAAATACTATATAAAAATAACTAATATTAAAAAACAAATTAGAAGAAAATTTATTTATTTATTGATTTGTATAAAAACTATTTATTTTTGCAGAATATTCAGTAGTCTTTAATAATATGGAATTAAATAATTTTAAAATGTAACGTAAACATATCTACTTTTAAAGTAATCATGATATTTTATACTAATGGCATTGTTTTACTTTCACAATTTTAATATTATTTCAATAACTGTTAATGTATTAAATAACTGATAACATTAGGGAACAATAACATTGTGCTAAATTATCTTTTGGCTCTTATAGAATTGATATTTATATTGATTATATATATGTGAACGATCTATTGTTCTGTAATATTGACGGTTGATAACATAGATAATTTTATCTTGCACGTTGTCTATGCTCAGTTATAAGATATCGAAGTTTTTCCTTTAAACACATGAACGCCTACAGCGCCACTTCCTCTTTTAGCTTTTGGAGTTTGGAATGGAATGATAGGAACAGTTGTCAGTTTTAGAGATTCTCTCCACTATTACTTTAGTCCTTAGTTGCAACTAGATCGTAACTCTCAAGTTGAATACAAGTTCATAAAATAGCCACGTAAGTTTCTTTGTCTCTATATAAACTGTCACGTAGTTGATCTCAAAAGTCGATGGTGTTGGTAATAATACATTGAGTGGGTCATGGAACGTGAATACAAATATTATAAATTTTTTGCGACATCATGAACAAAATTTTATGATTTTGTTAACGAGAGGGAATACAGGAGTTTGACCCATAGACGCACCGGAGATGTAAGTAACAAAGCAGTGTCTATCAAGCTATATAACGTATTATTAACTTATTTGTTTTACTCTTTTTCTCATTCATCTCACAAAATAGTGTATACTAGAAATTTATAGTACATTCTCGCGTTTATTCCTTATTGAAACAATTTATAAACAAAATTATTTAAATTTTACGTTTTATGTCTTATTTTCAGCAGCCAAGTATTATACTGATTACGGTACGATTAATTTGAAGCAGAAAATAATTGCTTTAAATTTTTCTTTGTATAATAATATAAATAAATAGAAAATCCTCTATAAAACATGTCAAATTCGCTATCGTTAAATGCAAAAGAGATTTTGTATATGTAGCACATAGAAATCAAATGAAGGATAATGGATTTTATATTTTGTATAAATTATAATTTATACTTAATAATTTTCAAATTATTATTATTCAAATTATTGGTTTTCAATACATTATTAATTTTTTTTTTTCATTCTATTAAATATTAAAATGTTACAACAACATTTAAAAAATAAATTTCAATAAGCAAACTTTTTACATGATATATAAACACTAAATAGGCTAATCATTAAAAAGTACAATTTTATAATTGATAAATGAAACTATTAAAGAAATTTGTTTGTAAAAATGTGTATATCCACATCTTCACAACTTTGTACTACAATCGAATAAAAATATTAAAAAATTTTCAATTTTTTTTCAACTTCGTTGTCTAAAGTATATATTATACGAATGATTGAATTTTAAAAGCTTCTTAAATTTTGAATTTTTTAAATTGAAAATATGATATGCATGTAAACAAATACAAACAAATGTAAATCAAAATAAGCGAGTTTGAATATATGGTTTAATAATGGCCTTACTTGAAGTAAAGCATAGATAATGAAACATATTTCAATATTTATCGAGAACTTAGAAAAATTAACAATTTTCCTTCCAATTAGGAACCATTGAGAATTACAAAATAGACTGAATTTTGAGTTCGCCTATCATTGTAATCAATTATAAAAATAATAAATTAATATAAAAAATGTAATAGCATTCTAGAAAATAAACGTTGTATACGCTACAAACCTTTTTAGTTTTAAATTTTTAATTAGATTTAAATATTTTGAAAATTTATTAATTATCGTATAAATAAAAATAATTAAATTTGAACGTAAATAAAAAAATCATTACTGGAAGCAAGTTATATAATTATTAAATAACGTAGTATTTCTGAAAGCGAAAGGATTGATTTAATATATTAAGTTTTGAGTGTGAAAATAAGTAATGTATCTACATAATAATTTCATATATTTTAGTAGGACTAACTTTATATATTTTTTTCATAGTGATATATGAATAAAGATTAAATTATAAACATAATCTAATTCAAATATAAATCATGAAAAGCATAATGAAATTAAATTTTAATATATATATATATAATTTTATCACGAACTATATTGTAGCATATGAAATATTAAAGGTATTTCATATAAATTTTGAAATTTTAACTACATACGCAAATGTTGCTCCTTAATAATGTGATGTGACAAAGTGCAACAGTATCATTATTAGATTTTTTTTATCTGATAAAAGTCTAATTCTATAATAAGCAATTATATTCTGTAAAATATCATAGTATCTATCTGAGAATACTGGATTTTCATTTATTATAACATAAAATTAATAAAAACTATATCGAGTATTTATTAACAATTGTATGTTATAGTTTAATCTTACAATTATACAATTATTAATAATTAATTATTAAATTTATTAATTATGTATAAAATACACACACTTACGCGCGCGCGCGCGCACAAATTATATGAATGTTTATGTTTGTGAAACATTAAAATAGGAAGAAGAAATGAATAAAAAAAATAAACACGATATATAAAATATTATAATTGATTACTTTGATTTCATTCTATAATAAATTGTATCTATATAGATAAAGTATGTAAGTACATATGCCTTCAAAAAATGTAAAATCAGCTCTTTCGATCGTTTTAAAATGCTTGTAGTTGTGTCTGTTTGTAGTCTGTATATTATTTTTTAGATGTATTTCATTTCTGAAATATTTTGATCGAATTATAATCTTTTTAAAGTATTTAAAAAATATACTTTTATATTTTCTAAATAATTAATGTTTTATTGGTTCATAAATTAAGAAATAATATATATGAAACATTTGATCGGATCAAAAAATTATAATTATTTTATACTGAAAAAGATCCTTATTTATTTTATAATCAAAATTATTTAAATTATATTAGAATAAAATAATTGTATGTTGTTATATATAATTTAATAGTTTTTTAAAATTTATCTCATATATATGGTATAAAAATTAATGAGAATTTATAAAATTACGATATAAAAAATCTTACTCGCTTCTTTGTTCTTATAGATTAATGCATCATTGACTTGGTGTTCGAAGAAAAAATAGGACATTACTGTACTTTAAATTCTTACGGTTTAAAAAACTTATTATTATCAATGCAAATAAAACAGTCTGTATTATACGCACATAAAATTCAATTATTACATACACAGAGAGGAAAGAGTATTATTACAAACATTAGTTTACGGTAGCGGAAGTGATTCATCTACGTCCTTTTTATTTAATCTTGCAGATTAGCTCATACCGTTGACGTGGGTATCTATGCTTGACAAAATTTCTTAATTCTATTATAATTTATTATAATTTATATCTACTATAATTTATAAATATTTGTATACTAACTATTTTTTGTAATATTGGACTAAAATCTGATTACGTATATATCCAAATAAGAATTGATGAAATTTAAACTATGCAGTACAACATCCCGAGAATTTATTATGGATTAAATAGCTATTATATATGAATAGCATACTTACTAATTTTTATTTATACAATAATTATAAATATAAGTAAATTTAACAGTTTTGCAAATTTTAGAGAAACCTATAAAAATTTAACATCTAACTTAATCAGAAATGTTCATGAAATTTATGGTATATTACCAAATATATTTTTTTTCAAATTACAAAATATATATTTATGTTTTTATAAAATTTAATGGTAAATATATTAATTGAAAAAAATGACACTATAAAAATAAATTTTATTTTTTAATTATATTTGACTTTTTTTATCAGTTAGTATATACACATAAATGCAATCTTATTTAGCATTAGTATAAATACAAACTTTATTTATAATTAATATTCGGTATTTATATATATATATATATTGTAATTTTTTTTATTTCTCAACATAATTTGCTTTTCATTTATTATAGTCAAGGTTGCAAAATATAAAGCAATATAAATTTTTTATTTTATAGTTATAGTAAAAGTTATATAAACTCAATTTTGTTCATACTTTTCATTAATTTGCTTAAGAGCTTTTATATATATATATATATATTAACATAAGTAAAATAATATATGCAAGAAAGAATAAGCATTAAAGTAAATATTAATATTCTCATTATTCGAAAACAATTACTCAACTTATTAGTGTACTAATTATTCTTTACTTTCAATTTTCATAAAGTACGTTCTAATATACGAATACCGATGTAGAGCAGTATTTTAATAGAATATTTATAGTGTTTTAGTAATTAAAATTAAGTGTTAAAAATATTTACACAAATTTTTTATTGTAATATTTTGGTTCTTTGTTAATATTAATTTTCATCTTATAAAATTTTAAATTCAGATAAATTTGAGGATTAAAAGTAGATTATAATTATTTATCAAATATTATTTTTCTGAATAAATTAAAAAAATTTCAATTAAGCTAAATAATATTTTATTTCATCTTACACGATATTAATGTTTTTCTACCAATAAAATTTAAAATATGCCTTTTTATTTAAAATTGGATTAGTCATTTTATACTTGTTCATATCTACCGACTGCTATTTCATTCTTGTTTTGAATATTTCCTTACGACTCAAGTTTTCTTTACTATACCCGCATATAGCTCAATACCGACTACCAATTCCTTTCAGAATTTATTTATGTAAGATATTTTAATTAAATGATTTATAAAAGAGTATAGACTTTTGAAATAATAATGTAAATTTCTAATATACAAAATTGTTTAATTTAAACATTTAATCACTTAATTCTACACTGTACGAGTTTAAAACTTGTGACCGTATTCAGATAATGTATATGTACATATATACACAGAAACTAAAAAATTGTATTAAATTTTAAACATTTTTAGATTCTAAGAGTTCTTCTATACTTGCATTAAAGATGCATTATTTTTTAAATGATATTAGTAGGTCAAAATTAACAGATTTGATATAGTTGATTTTATATTTTTATACATTATAATTCATATAAACTATTTAAATGTTTTTATATAAATAATTGATAGTTATAATTAGTATGCTCATAATATTTATAATATATGTTTATATTTTAAATTTGAATCTTTTTATTACTATATAAATTGCTTTAAAATACAATAATTTATATATACTTAATAATTCTTAAAAATAACGCATATTCGGAAATTTTAATTTTATAGAGTAACATTACTTTTGTGCCATTAGGAATATAATACCTCCCAAAATTGACACGATCAAAAGAGTGTAAAAGAAAGACAGCAGAAGACAGAATATTATATTATATTTATTTTTCTATGGAATGCTTCATACACATACTCCCAACTTTTATTTTTTAATAATTTTATAAAGAAATTTTATAAATTGTATTTATAAGAGAATGAATAACAACCTTTTGTTAAGAGGATTGTTTTTTTTTCTATTTTTTATTAAGTCTCAGTAATGAAAGGTGAGATGTTCTCATTTCAATTGTAGACAGTTCTCTAAAATTAATTTTAGAACAAATCTTTAAGTGATGTGAAACTTTTAATATAATTACCATTTGTTGAATAAATTAAGCAATAATTTAAAGTTACATTTTATTTAAAATGGATTCATAATAATTATTAATTAGTTTGTATTATTCAAGAATGAAAAAATGATGTAGTGTATATAAATTTTAGAATAATATTTCATTTATCTATTTAAAATATACATATTTTTAATTTCTTTATAAAATGAATAATATTTTTTAAAATTTCGTATTAAATTTTTTTCATAATTATTTTACACAATATATTTTCAAATAATTAATTTATTGATATAAATATTTTATCATAGTATTTGTAGATAAATTTTATACATGACAATGGTACAATACCATTATCTAAATTTTTAATATTTTATAGAATTTTTGCAAATAATAAAATATAAAGCTTATTTCATATATAAATTAGAAGAATTGCCTATTCTCCTCATAATGAGAAATAAAATTTGGCTCAATTCTATAAACATTGATGAATAATTTTAATTTATTCATAAATTTTATAATTAATAAATTTTGATTAAGTATAAGTAAAATTATAAACAAGTTTATAATTAAGATAATTTACATTTAATATTTAATTAATTTATCTAATTAAATTATCTATCTAAATATCTAATTAATTTAAATAATTCAAAGTTAATAACTATTTTAAATATTAAATAAATTTTTATGTTTTAATCTAGATATGAAATTTCTAACGTGAATTTAGATATTCATTTAGATATATCATCTAATAGTAATGAATATTAAAATTATCCGTAAAATTTTTCCTGCAACTACATTCAATTTAGTATTATTTGACTAATGTTCTTTATCATTACTTTATTACATTTTCAAATTTATTTTAATGTTCTTATTGAAGATTCTATAAATTATATTCTATTTTTAAAAAATTTTGTATTAAAATTATCCTATAAAGTGTTAGCTACTTCATATATACTGTGATGTAATTGCTACCTAACTTAGCTTTTTTATTTTACATACTTTTCATAAATTATACGAGATAAATTATATTATTATATGTATACATAATTAGATGATTATTTAATTTATTAAATTAATTTAATTAATGAACTTTTGTTTTAGATTCGAGATTGTGACGAAAATAACAAATGGATTCTTATAAAAATCAGTCAAATCGTAATACTTTCAAATTTGAGAAAATGATCTAGTAAAATTTAACATTTTCCTATAGGTGAAGAATAATAAACAAGATGAGGATGAAAGTCATCGACTTATTGATTGTTTTGTTATGTACAATATATCTTTTTAATGATGTTAACTCTTTTGAAGGCCCTAATGTTTGTACTAGACAAGAATCGTAAGTTGAATATTATATTTTACTGAATGAAATATAACATTAATAAATGCAAAATTCCTTTAAGAATATGGCTTGTTTCTATACTATTCTATTTTGTTAATATTTGATTCGGAAACTTTTTTTTTAGGTATACAGTAACAGTAAAAGTTTCAGAACAAAAACCGTATACTGAAAGAACAAAAACTTTGTGTTGGAGTTTTCCTCCTACTTGTTCGAAATATAAGATTGTTTTCAAAACTGTTTATAAAACACAGGTATTATTTAGAATAAATATATTGATGTTTAAAAACAAATTACACTTAATTATATTTATGAAATTAATTAAAAATCGTTAATATATTACATACACATACATATGCATCTTTTATGAATACATACTTTCATTGTTTATTTTTTTCAAACTATTTTAATTTTTATATTATTTAAATTCTTAAATGTAGACAATAACAAAACAAAGGCCTGTTGAAGAATGCTGTAAAGGTTACGCACCAACATACGAAGGAAATAGATGTGTTGCAGTGTGTTCAAAACTATGTTTACACGGAACTTGTGTTGCTCCAGATGTTTGTAAATGCGAATCTGGTTACGGTGGTTCATCATGTAATATCAGTAAGTATAAATATTGTTTTATGTAATTTCAATTTAAATTTATATTATGAGAACATTATTCGAATTCAACAGCAAATATCGTTATTTTTCACATGCTAATGTGAATTAATAGTTCTTTAATATCAAAACGAATTTAATATTTAGGCAATCACGCAGTTTCATACCCGAAATATAATGTTAGTTGTTTGTATAAAAATTATTAAAACTTATTAATATGTTGTACAATCATTTTGAAATAAAAAAGATTAATTTTTTTTTGAAAATAAATATAAAATTTCAATTGATTGTAAAATTTGGAAAAATATCCCATGAATTTAAATGATGTGTATAAAAGATAAACAAACAACAGTATTTAGAAAAAATTATTCTATGACATTAACGTAATATATTTATTTTATGTATGTTAATGTAAGAATATCATATAACAATGACAATATAATTATTTTCTTATTATTACATCTTTATTTAAATATATATTTTCTAAATTTGATAATATATATTTTATAAAAGTCATGAATCTTTTGACTATTGCAATAGCAATGTATTGTAACATAAAATAATTTATGTTAGAAGCATAATTAGAAATTATGTAACAGAAACCTTTTATTTAAAATTTTGTTTTATCTAAATCAATTTAATAATTATAATATATATTAGAATTGAACGCATTATTTAGTATATTTAAATATTTGATATTCAGTATTAAAGTATTAATAACTTATTTACTTACATTGCAAGGTGTATGGTTACAGATAGTAGTCGTGCGTACGAACAGTGATTAACATTTATGAATTATTTTATAAATGGCACACTTTAAATAAAAATGATAATGTTAGAAAGATTGTCATTGTTATAAAGAATAATCATGGCTTCTAAATTAAAAATTTTACTAAAATTAAATTATTAAATTAATATACAATGTTTCGTGTCGATTTATACCAAAATGTTTGTGTTTTTTTATAATTATAAAACAAATTCATATTCTTATTGGGAAATTGGGAAAATTTTTAAAAATAATTTTTTTAATTTATCGCGTTAATTTACATCCATTATTCCATAAAAATAATCCGCGATAGAACTATCGATGTTTTATAATTGTTTAATTGTATTTTTGGATTGTTTTATTCTTCATAATTATAATTATAATTTTAAACGCCATAATTATTTTAGTTTTAGCATAAAAAAAACATATATACTAAAACTTATAAAAACTTTAATAAACATAGAATCAATTCAATTATATATCACAATATACTGACTGATGTAAATTTGATCAAATTACCTTATTTATATTACTGTATATTATTTATTTTTTATTTGCTTGTATATACAGTTCTAATAACAAAAATGTGTTTTAGTAAATAGTAATTCATATAATTAAGAAAATAGATTTGAATAAAGTAAATTTTCTTAACTTTACAGAATGTCCATTGGGAAAATGGGGTACGAACTGCTTAGAAGATTGTAGATGTGCGAACGATGCAAGCTGCGATCCTTACAATGGCAACTGTACGTGCACACGAGGCTGGAAAGGTAAATATTGTGAGGATCAATGTCCACCAGATAGATATGGTCAAAATTGTGATGAAGAATGTCGATGCTTAAATGGTGGAAGTTGTCAACACATATCCGGGGAATGTCACTGTGCGCCTGGATATACTGGACCATTGTAAGTATATAGAATGTTTTAGTAAACTACTTCAAATAAATATATTATGTTAAAAAATTAATGGATCGATAAAAAAAGGTTTATACTTTTCTATACTAGTTTTACTCTACAAATATAACCTATGAATTATATCTAGATTAATAAAAATAATTTATTTAAGAATTCGTGAAAATAAGAGAGGATTGCATACAGCGCTAAACAGGAGAATAAAATTGGATATTTACTTTGATTAATACTAAGAGATTTTAAGAGATCATATACTAAGTCAAAGTTGCTGATTAATTTTTTTGTTAATACACAAATAGAATAACAGTTTAAGTCGGTTAAATTTAAGTACTGGTCTTATGTCTATCATTGCTTTGTTGCTATCAGGTTACACTACTACCATACACTGTAGTTGTTGCAGACATGCATTATCCATTTTGTAAATATTAAGATTTCATATATTTATAAATAAACATTCAGATAAATTTCACTTTTTCATAAAAAAGCTTAATTTTTGTATTTTGTAAATACTGTAGCATGTGATTTAATAGTTAAACATTTCTTCAACTTTGTTGGTGATGGTTCAATTGTTTTACTTGTTGCTTTATTAACGAATTATTCAAACTCCATTTTTGTATATTTGATGGTTATACCTCCCAATTTATTCACTGCCTGTCTTTAAGTGTACATAGTAATCCTTACATATTATATAAAATCGTTCGCTACATTTCTTTATAAAAGTGCTATACTCATTCATTTTTATTTTATGAAATAGAGATGTTTACTAAAGGACAAAAATTTTCTAGACTTTAAAGCGTTAAACCTAATAATTAAGTTCTTCTATTAAACCCATAATATCGCATGCATTTCATTTATTGTTGACCGACAACCAGTAATCACATGTTATTTTCTTTATCATTTAAAGCATCAAGTTTATTACGTAATTGTATTAGATTAACACTCGTTGAAAGTAATTCAGCCCGCTTACAACCATCATGCACAAGTTGTATCACGAATAAATTAAATTTTTATTATTTGCTTCTTATCATGATGCCATGAGAAGACTTAATTTTTGTATTTAAAAATTATACGTATAAGTATAAATTGTGCGATTACAACAAAATATCATTATACAAATAATTAGAGTGAAACATGCAAGTTGTTTGGGAAATTATCTATTAATATATTATTACTACGTATATATTATTATATATACGGATTACTAAATTATTTATTCAACTTTTTTACATGTACAAAATAATAAATACAATTTTTATAAAAAATGTTAGAAAATTTCTATTCGTAAATTTTACTTGTAGCTTTTGTATGTAACTATTTATAACTAAATTATTTCTATGGTATAGTAAATTTTAATTATATAATGTATATAATTAAATAATAAATAACTATTTAATTTCAAGATGCGATGATCTTTGTCCACCCGGAAAACATGGCGATGAATGTAAATCAGAATGCCGTTGTCAAAATAAAGGTGCCTGCAGTCCAACAACTGGAAAATGTTTTTGTACCCCGGGATGGATGGTAAACAATTACTAAAATTTAAACAAATTTAATATTAAGTTTATAAATATATATTTTATATTTTTATCTCTGTTTTTTATAAATATTTTTTAAATATAAAGCAATATTAATTTAATGAAGTAGTAAGTATAAATGTATAATTTATACTTATTCATTAAAAATAAATCGAGGAGTTTTAATTATATTTGCTACAATCTTTTATATTTATTTGCATAAATATTAGTTTGATAAACATGAGATTTTTGTCAGATGTCAGATTTCCAACTATTAAAAATATATTCAAGATTTAGTGAATTATAATTTTTTTATCTGAATAACATATAAAATTTTGAATATACATATAAACATAATTTTTTCAGACCTTTTAAAATATATTATTACCGAATAGAAAGACAGTAGAATATTTATTTTTAATATAATATTTTAAAATATTTTTACATGTATATAATAAATTAATAAACTAATAATGTATATTTTTTGACAATTATACTTTTATATAAAGTAAATTATTATTATTAGCAATTACAGCTTTAAAATGTTATAAAATGTTTAATCCCTTATCGACCATATATACTTTACGAAATTATGATCTGTAGCAAATAAAATAATATTACATTTTAATCATTCGATAAATTTAATAGAATAAATAATGGATTAATCCCATAAATTAGAATAAATAAATCAAATAATTAAAAAAAAAATTACAATTTTAATCACAAGTTTTTATAAATTGCAACTAATTTATGTTTTTCTCTTTAGGGATCTGTATGTGCCAATCGTTGTCCAGAAGGATACTGGGGTCAAAATTGTAGTGAACCCTGTGAATGTTACAATGGCGCAGGATGTAATCATATTACAGGAGAGTGTATCTGCAAACCTGGATATCAAGGAGATAAGGTAAATTTTACAGTCATTTTTTAATTTATATTTTTAATGTTGATCTCCTTATATTTCTTTATTAATAAATAATTATTTAAAATATTTATATGTTTATTAGTTTTGGAAAAAGTGTGAATTTAAAAAAAAATTAATACAAAATTTATTTTGTTTGTAGTAGATAATTTAAAAATATTAATTGATTTAATTTTTTTAAATTTTAAACCTTAAATGACTAAAATTACTAATTAAAATTTTTAATATGGATTTTTCCTTATTATTTATTTACAGAATTGTCAATTCAAAAGTATTTCTAATAATTAATTAAAAAGAAATTAAATTTTTAATAAATATTAGGATTGATTATTAAAACAATTTAATTTTGAAAAGAATACATATTGATATTGCACATTTGCATTTACAACTGATATGAATTAACCGATTGATTTAAAATAATAAAAAAATAAAATAAATAGTATGTATTATTTATAAATATATAAATCATAAATTCTGTAAAGAAACATCTGAATTTTTTAATTGTAATATTTAAATGATTATTTACGATTATTTGTAAATATTATTAATATTTAAATAACTATTTATAAATATTTAGGAATATAAAATTGTATTATGCTAACAAAATTTAAATAGTTATAAAATATTTTACCGTTCTATTTATGTTCTATGAAATATTTTTACCTTGTTTAACATATACTGTCTTTTTTAATAAAAATTACTTAATCAATTACTATGTTTTAGTTCTTTAAATATCGTATTTTAGAATACAGTAAAATATTATATTACCTTACATATTAAATTCAAAACTAATTTTCGATAAATTAATTCTCTAAAATTATATAAAATACTGTAGCTAATAATATAATTTAGTATTAGATTATATTTTATATTAATATTTAATATCAATTATATCACATTATCTAAACCATTATTATAACATTATTTATGCGTTATTAATTTGGTAATTATAGTTTTAAATATATTTTTATATTTTCATATAGTGTTTAAAAAATTGTCCAAAAGGGAAATATGGTTTTAATTGTTATAATAATTGCACTTGTGAAAATGGAGCATCTTGTTCAACTGTCGATGGTTCGTGTACATGTGATGCAGGTTGGATCGGTGATAGATGTAATAAGCGCATATGTAAAGATGGATTTTACGGGCCAGAATGTTCTAAGGTAATAATTATATGAGTAAATAATAATAATGAAGTATTCTTCAAAACTAAATATTTGAACTCTTTAGGTTTGCGAATGTGATATAACGAATACAGAGTTATGTCATCCATGGACTGGGGAGTGTATGTGTAAGATGGGTTGGGCCGGTAAAACATGCTCACGTACCTGTCCAATTTACACTTACGGTCAGGATTGTCAAAATCGATGTAAGTGTAAAAATAATGCTCAATGCTCGCCAATTGATGGCAGTTGTATCTGTGCTGCTGGTTATCGAGGTAAATATTGTCACGAAGTTTGTCCATCTAATACATTTGGTGAAGATTGTGCTCAACGCTGTGTTTGCCTTAATGGTGGTGTTTGTTCTTCAGAGGATGGACATTGCAATTGTAGCGCAGGTAAGTTATGATGTTTTGATATTTTTTATAGATTAAGAATATATATACACGTTAGCTTAAAAATTTATATCTTAGTATAATTTAATTAGTATAATTTAGAACTTATATCAAAGTACTGATTTCAAAGAAATATAATATAGTTTAGTACATATTGTATTTATACTAATGATTTACGCATCATTTCTAATAATGATTGACTGAAATTGGATTCAGTAAGTGAATAAACAAATGTAAAATTTTAATAATCTTATAAATAGGTTGGGAGGGCGTACAATGTGAACGCCCATGTGCAGTGGGATTTTATGGAGCTGGTTGTAATGAAAAATGCAAATGTCTTAATAAAGCTGCTTGTCATCCCCAAAATGGTAAAAATTCATTAAAACAAAAATTTATTCTATAAATTTTAAATAAGACGCTTCCTTACAAAAATTTATTTTATACAATATTAACGCTATAGCAAAGTTTATTTTTATTTTGAAAAGGAGCATGTACTTGTCCACCGGGATATGTAGGTAATCTGTGCCAGAACCGTTGTAATAATTCATTTTTCGGAAATAATTGCTTACAAGTTTGTGATTGTGACGATAATAATACTAATGATTGTGATCCTGTTACTGGTCATTGTAACTGTAAACCGGAATGGCGTGGTTTGTATACAATATTTCATAATATTAATAACATGATAACAATTAATATTTAAAAAATTATACGTATTAGTATAATTTTAAAAGTTCTTGAAATACAAAATTATGAAATTTTTTATAAATTGCTACACAAATTTAATTTAACAATTTTATCAATATTGAAAATAATTTATTTAAAATTATTACAATCTTTTATTAGTAACAATATAAACTATGATAATATTGATTTAATAATTATAAATATTATACAGGAATTCGTTGTGAAACGCAATGTCCGACTGGTTTGTACGGCGAGAACTGTCACAATGAATGCAACTGCAAAAATAACAGTTCCTGTGATCCAGTTAGTGGACTTTGCGTATGCTCAAGAGGTTGGGAAGGAACAGACTGTTCACAACCCTGCAAAAAGGGTTGGTATGGTATGCGTTGCAAAGAGCAATGTCCTGATATGATGCATGGTAAGAAATTACATAATTACACTAATTTACATTTCTAAGTATAAAACGTAAATATAATATTTGCCTGTTCAAAGAAGTAATGAAAAAGTAAATATTGTATTAGGACAAAGATTCTCACATTATTTTTTTGTACTATTCCATTATCTATCTATTTTTTAATTATTGAATTTTTTGTAGAATGTAATAAAATGTAAATAATTTATAAATATAATTAATTAACGGTTTTGTATTTAGATCTGAAAATTGATGGTATAATAGAAAATTACATATAATTAATAAAATTTGTTTTTTGTTTAATATTTGTATTGGTTAGCTTCAATCTAGAAAGTTGTGGAAATGGAATGAAGTCGTTTTTATTGTTTATACCTTCTTTCTGAGCTTCAATAACATACAGTCGAACTACTATATTGGAGCTCTTTATAATGACAAGGAAAATAAAGGAACACATGATTATAGGTAGATTAGTAATTCTTCAATCATTTTTAATTTTAGAAGGAATACAAACTTTTGATGAAGTTAATCGGATTACAATGTTGATAAACTACTATATTAACTTTATATAACAACCTAAAATATGAACAAATATTAATATTTAAAATAAAATTTTTTGCTGTAAATTTTTAAAAACATTAATACTTTACTAGCGCAGGATTATGTTTATATTTAAAGCAACTGTAAAATTAAAACAATACTTAATTTAACACATATATAATTATGAGTAAACAATGCTCTAAGCATCATAGTAGTCATTGCATAATTATCCTATAATTCATGTTTAAATTTGACGGTTTATACAATAATTTAATACTTAATTGAAGTTATTAGAATTTATTCCATATTAATTATTCTACAGCATTTAATCTACATAAGCAAATTTCAATTTGTACTCTTATTTCATCTAATCATTGGTACGTAGAATATACAGTTTGGTATATCATTTTTTTATAATTATATGTTAATTTCCTATATTCTTATTTTATTTTTTTTCCTATAAGCAAAATAATTGACTCGCGCTTTTTTCTTTGGTATTAAATTGTACATAATAGTAATGCTTTAGATATATATTAACCTAGTAGATAGTCTGCTGTCAATTAATATTGATAAGAGCATTTATTTCATAAATTTAAGTACTTACATATTTTCGAGTATTATAAATATGAAGTCTTTTCGAGTGCTATAAAAATTTTTCGTCAGTATCTTGAATAATATATTTAGTTCGTTTATTGGTAAAACACTGTTGGGATTGATATTTTAAATATTGATAAATAAGCTTGTGTATCAATGCATTATCTAATCAATCAACAACTTGTCAATGTAAATTATTCATTAATCCATATATTGTTCTTACTTATCAGATATTTTTCCACGATATTTTCATCTTTTTCGATTATAGTTATAAAATATAAAGTTTAAAATAACTAATTTCATAGTGACATATTATTTGTCTTTCGTTAGCAACAATGTACTGTTGAACTACTTCTTCATTATGATGATTTTTTCATCGAATATTCTTCCTGAAATAACAGCCTTTGTAAAGATAATAATAAAAATCTCTCGCATTTAGTATTCCTTTGAGAAGATAGCAAAATTATTTTTATTAAACATATTTTCAATTGGTCATGACAACAGGAAGTCAGATTATAATCCAATTTTTAATATTCTTTTGCCTCAGATTAATATAGTTTAATGTTATTTGAATGTCATCTTTGATGCTTCTTACTTCGTTGATTTTTTAATAATTAAAATACCATTAAATTAAATAAATATAATTTTTTCATTTTGTGATAGGACATTTTACAGAACTTGACTTATTGTTTTTATATTAATTTATGAACTATGATTGAAGCTTTTAATTTTCAGTTTTTATTGTATGTTAGTGTTTTTACTTATTTTCAATTACAAATAAATTATTATTATGATTATTATAATAATAATCATCATCGTCCTCATCATCGTCATCATCATTATCATCATCATTATTAATATTACATGCATAACAGTGCAGCTAAATCTAATAATTTTACAAATTGTATAGTATTTATTTTGTAAATAAAAGAGGAATCACTATCATTTTAGCCTTCCAGATAAAATTATCGTTCTGTGATGGAACAGCGTCTGAATATTCTATAAATCACCATAATAAATACATTGGAAGTTTTTGCGAAACAGTCTCTGCTAATAAGCATGATACATTATTTTGAGATACATTCAAATGTATTTTCATTACAGGTAACATGACATGTGACCATGTAACTGGCGAATATATTTGTAGACCAGGCTATGTAGGAATAACCTGTGAACATCCTTGCCCGGATAATTTTTATGGACGTGGGTGTGCGCAGCGCTGTGATTGCAAAAATGGTGCTGAATGTCACCACGTGAATGGTATATGCCAATGTTTACCAGGTTGGCAGGGTAAACATTGTCAAAGCCGTTGCCCTGAAGGCACTTTCGGTGTCAATTGCACTCAACATTGCAAATGCCTTAATGGAGGAAAATGTCGCGCTAATGATGGACTTTGTAGATGTGCACCCGGCTGGACCGGCACGCACTGTACTGAAAGTAAGTCAATGAATTACATTAATTTTCAGAATTTCAGATTATATTGCAGAAATCGCACCTTGATTTTTCACATTTAATCTTGTATGTTTATTTTACAAAGATAGCGGTTTTAGGATTAAAATGATTTTTTATAAATTTTAATTAAATCAAGTTTATCTTAAAAAGATAAATAATTTGTTATTATACAATTTAATTATTATACTATCAAATATTTATAATTATAAAGCAATATTTGAGAACTTCCATTTCTTTATATATATTATATAATAATAAAAAGTTTCATAAAACAGTGGTGTATATAATGATTTAATACATTCATGTATTAAAATATTTTTCATTAAATTTTAAACCAAAGATTTACAATAAAAATATAAATGAAAAAAGAACGATTTGTTTATAAAAGATTCTGTTTGCATTTTTAAATATTGCTGCAATACAAAATATAAATTTTGGTTAATTTAAGAAAGTTCATTATTGCAATATATATTGTATTAAATTATAAATATTAGATTAAATATGAATATATTTATTGATATTTAATTCCATAAACTATTAGAAGAACCAAGAAGTATTTACATCACTTTTTATTAATACATTATAAAAAAATAATATACAATTTAACATACAATAGAAATAAAAAATAAGACGTTTGTAACAAATTAAATATGCACAGTAATTTTAATAATTATAATTATTTTTTGCACTAAATACACTATATACTAATTACAGTATCACAAAATATAATTATTTTAATTTTTCTCATCTTTATATTTAATTAATAATAATTAAAACAAATTAGTTTTATATATTTTTAATAGATCTTAAGAAACGATGTACAATTTAATAAGAATTTTAATGCCTATTCATAAGTTATTTTATATTAAAATACTTATAATTGAAAAAATACGTGTAATTTTCTTTGCCTCCGTTGATTCTATTATTAATTGAAAATTAATTTGATTATTTTCAATTTAGTTTGCCCTGAAGGATATTACGGAGATCATTGTATGGAAGCATGTGAGTGCATAAATGACTTTTTTATATGTCATCCTGCAGAAGGTTGCATTTGCAAACATGGACATGGAGGTATGTTAAATGCGCAATGGCTGTTATTGATAATATTCTCAAGCGAATTCTCTTTTTTAGGTCCAAAGTGTGATGAATTGTTGTTCTCGCATAATGTTCAACAGAAAAATGAAGCTGGTTATGGCAGTGTTGTAGGTGGTATTTTTGCTGGAATTCTAAGCATAGCAATTTTTTGTACTGCTTGGATGTATCATAGACGTAGAGTTGCTAATCTCAAGATGGAAATAGCACAAGTACAATATACGGCCGAGCCAGTTACACCAATAGGTAAAATTTGTGCATCAGCACTTAATAATTTTTATATTATAAAAATCCTGTATCGTTTTAACGTATGAAGTCAAATCAAAATTACTTTATTCAGACATTATAACCTTATGTCAGAATCTTTGTATTATTATTAAGTTGTTATCAGTTAAAATTGTTGTGTATTAAACTGATTGAAATAACTCGAATGAATAGATAAGAGAGCTACATCATAATTATATGTATAATTATATACTTTCCCTTCTTAAACAATTGTTGACTTATTGAGCTTTAAGGACGCTTATAATCAATTATCTCGTTAGACTACTTATCGTTTAAAAAAAATTAAATAGAATTAAAAAGATGATCTAACGAGGATTACTACAGAATCGACTTGAAATAAATTAAAATGTACTATAAAGTTGATACGGTAAAAATTTATAAACCTTTAAATATGAAAAAATAATAATACAACACTGGTTAATTTCTTCAGAATTATTCAGCAGTATTTTGTTATTTTCTCTGTATTAAATTCGTACAATTCTACATTAATAATTAATAAATAGAATAAACTTAAAAAATGAAATTTCATGTAGATATATTATTATACATTTTCATTCCTAAACATGTATTCCGTGTAAATAAAATTACAATTTACATAATATAAGTAGACAAATAATTAATTCTTTAAATTAAATAATTGAACAAAAAGACAAGTTAGCAATCAAAAATTATAATGAAGCTTTTAACATTTTTTAGAATGCTAAATATTTAAAAATAATTCATTCTTTAATATTTATTTGGATGAAAAGAAATAAAAATTCAATAATATAAATAAATTGAAGGATAAATGTTTTAATAGAATCGGTAGTAGTTCTCAACAAAATCATATGATCCTTCCATACTCTTTATGATCAATATCGATAGATATCGTTACACTTCTATCCAGTTATGCAATTAAAATAATAGGGTTCGATTGTTAACTTCTGAATAAGAATGCAGTGCATATAATGTTAGATTTTATGCAATATAAACTTTAGTATAATATCTCATTATGAACAAAAATGCCCATGTAACAGAAAAAGTTGACAACTAACAAGACATCTGAATAATATGTTGATAACATAATTATTCTAATACCAGTTTAGATATTTAAATATTAGTTGACTTTAGCCAATGTGATTATCTTCTTTTACAATAACAATGAGGCAGCAAGAATGATTAAAACGAATTCTAAAATAGAAAATATATGTGTAACTCATAAAAAAATTTACGTATTTATTATCATAAAGTTATCATCGAAATAATATCATATATTTCTTATATCTTTCTTTTATTCTATATTCTTCTTGTATTATATTTTATAAAGATCTACAAAACATATTTCGCTACTCGGAAAATTATAAATGATATTATTAAAATATACTTATAGTATAAACTTTTATGTAATAGAATAAAATATTCATTAACTCAAAATTCAAAATTCATGAAGAAATATAATTTCTAATCTTCCTTTTTTTGAATAATCAATATATTTCATAGATCATATGTGTACTCCACTTCTCTGTGACCTATATTATAAAATCTTACATTACGTACATTGATATACTTTAATCGTAAATAATAATATTTATAATTAATATACATATATATATTGTGGCTGTTAAAAATTTCTAAATGAAAAGTTAAATGTAGATAAATTTATTCATATAATAATGATCCAAGTTTTTAATTTCATACAAAACTAATTTGAGTTATTAGATAAGAAAATTATTTTATAATGTATTGTTTATAAAATTTACAATCAAAACAATAATAAGATGAACATATTTTTTTTGCAGATCGTAATCAATTTGATAATCCAGTTTATTCTTTTCAAGGAAATGTAAGAGTTGATGATGGTACAAATACTCTTTTGAATAATATACAAATAAAAAATATTTTGAGTAGAAAAAATATAAACACTGAAAAAACTAAATTAGGATTTACATATTGTGCAGATGATGAAGAGGATAATTGTAAAGGTATTAAACTACTAATAAAAATAATATAATACAGAAATATAAGAGTAATTAGATATAAAACTATCCACAAATATTGAAAATACAATTTATAAAGTACAATTTAAATAAGGTAATGTAAAAAGTGCCTAAAATGTTTTATAAGACAGACAGATATTTCTGATGGAATATTTGAGATATGGTTTATAATTTGTACAGATTTTCTTATTACAGCATCTTAAATGAAACTTGAATTTATTAATTAGTTAATAAGTCATCATTATACTAATTCTGATAGTAGATAAATTACTAATAAAAAAATATAATTTTTTATAAAAATATTTTGAAATATATTTAATATAAATATAAAATTATTTTTATAGAGGGATGTGGTTTACAGTATAATCACTTGGCATCATTAAAAAATAAAGATGCTGACGTTGGTAATCCGAATATGAATGTGTATCATAGTATCGATGAAATGGACAATAAAAAATCAGAACATCTATATGATGAGATAAAGCAAAATAACGGCGATTTGGAATATGATCACCTTGATTATACGAGAGCACAAAGTGATAGAAAACCACATTACCAACGTATGATTAATAGCTTTGGCTCTAGTTATCAAAAGCCAGAAAGCATACTGAATAGAGCTTCCACATCACAGAATTATGATCATGAGCCAAGCAATGCATAAATAATACTTTTGCTATTACATTTGGTATTGTACGACCGTCCTTTTTAGTTCAGATATGTCATAATCAAGAATCATTTATATATATTAAATCAATTATGGTACATTCATTCGGTTAATACTCCTTTAAAGACAATTATACAATTTTTTATTGCAACACTTCTTTTCTTTAGTAGAGTTCTTACGAATTACTGTGCCATTTTTATAGCTCTCTAAGCAATATTGATTAAAACTCATTTTTATTATAATACAATTGTAAAATCAGCCCTTGTAACTTTTTATATAATATATTTACACGATACTTCGGAATTTAAATGATTTCGGTATTTGAAACCATTAATATCCGTATATTTTCAATTTTTTTACTTCTAGGATTTTTTAGGTAAATGAAAGTCTGAATTAATCTTAATTCACCCTTCTCATTCAATTTGATTAATTTTGATTTATTACAATAGAGTGTATTTAATATTATATAATGTACGATATTATAATTAATATTTATAAAAATATAGATAAACACGCACAATATAAAAAAATTTAAGTTAAATTTGTATGAAATATAAAATTATATTTTGTTACTGTTTTTAGGAATATATAAAATTTAAGTAATCGAAGGAGATCGTGCGTAAATTAAAATTTTTGAAGAATATAAGATAAAAATGTATGCAGTATATTTTATACACTATCTAGTAGTATATTGTTAATTAAGTAAAATAAATTGATTAAAAGAGATTTCAATATAAAAAATTTTTTTGAAGATTATGTATTAAATGAATAAGCATTTTATTTTATCTTGAATATTGATATATAAGTTTATATTGAGAGATTTGTTTTTATATACACACTTATTTAAATGTTTACTAGATATATTTTACTTGTTTTAATGCATATGTATTGCTTTATATTCTATTTGAACAGTATTTTGTTTATTGTACAATAATTTTTATAATAATATATTATATTTTTTGCGACAATACATAAAAAATATGGTATCAATACAATTGTTCGAATTATAAATGCATAACTGTGATAAACTTTAAAATGAAAGAAAAAGAGTTTATGCAATTTCATAAAGATCTTTTACACAATACACTGTTCATTGTTTACTTACATGTAACACCATATATATATATATATATTTTTTTTTTGTTTTGAAAAATAAAAAAAATGTTAGGAATAAATGTATTAAGAAATTGGATATATTTAAAATTTTACATGGTATACATTTTATTAATTACTTTATACATATTTTCATATTTTATGACATTGAATATGTTATATTAATTTTTATACAATTATAAGAAATAAATTATACGTGAATTACAATTGTGTAAAATATATGCCTTAGTAGTTATAAAATTTACTATTGGATTTATATTTTTTATAAATATATATTAATATGTGGCAAATGATATGCTTTTATAATACATTTTTTTATCAAAATATGAGGTAACAAAAATATAAAGAATATATAAAAATTATTAAATTAATTGTACTTATTGCATATTTTTTACTTTTTATTGTTATTATCCCCATAATTATGTTCACAATGCTAATATCATGCTCTTATCTATTTATGATATTATTAGTAGTTATATTATCATTATTATTAAAATATAACTTTTAAATAAAAAATATTGCTTTATATCAGATTAAAGTGTGATATCTAAGAAGCACGCGTGTATGCCTATACACAATTTAAAGAAAGTTTAATACACTAACTCTGCTATTTACAAGTAATATTTATTTTCATACAACAGAAAAGAGGTGGACAAAATATGGTAAAACTTACACTCATAGATGTTCTTGAAATATAAAAATTATATTGCAATCTTCTAATCCTAATAAATATAATTGTTCATACATTGAAAATAATATTAATTCTTAAATAATATAAAAAGTATGTTTATTATTAAATACTCAGTTTTTCAATATTGGGATTTTATTTTATGAACTAAAAAATATAATTCATTATATTTTAATAATTTGTTTTACAATTATATTTATTAGAAACTATATCTACTATTTTGTTTTTTATATTAATTTTGATAATAGAAAGATTTATATTCGCAAAATTTAATATAATTATGTATTTATTATTGTTTAATATTTTGTCATATGGAGTATTAAAATTTTTTATTAAAGAAATTTCACTTTTAGACAAACGGTGTATATATCTACATATATAGCCGAACGATCCTATTTGCATGTAAACAGAAAAATGTAACAAATATACATTTAATAGAATTTATAAAAGTATTTGAACTTTCTATGTAAAAAATTAGTTTTATGCTATAAAAAATTGATTCTTATTATGAAGATAATATTTATAATAAGAATGAATTCTTAAGACTTAAAAGATACTAAAAAGATATAAGACTTTCTTAAGTCCCACCAATTAAATTATACATGACATAATAAAGAACAAAATAACTAATTGATAATGTTCCTATAAAATCAAATTTTCGATAAGTCTTCTTCCTCATCTTCTCCTCCAATCAGTTCTTCACTATCCGGTCGATCGTATGCGAAATATGTGGCAGCAAAACCACCTTTTGAGACGGTATCATCTGTTCTAAAACGCACGAGTAGCGCCTCATTTATCGATATAATATCTGTTGTATTCTAAAAGTTAAACAATGAATCTAATTAATCTTAACAACATATTTTAAACAGATATTAACAGTAAATTATTTAAAATTTTATTAACAAATTTGTTATATTAGTATACAATTTTTTTATTGAAAGAAGAAATTCCGTAAATTAAAAAGAAACGTATGAAAAATATTAAAAAAATTGAAATATAAATTTCACTTGATATTCTTTTATTATATTTATAATTTTGAATAAGTTATAATTTAAAAATTTAAACATGCTTTCATTATTTACTTTAATTCTGTTTAAGTTTATTTATAGATGAGCTTACTATTTTTTAATTAGCATATGGTTATTGATAAAATTTAGCAAATTTTATTGAAAATTTAAAAAATATATTACAATATATATAAATTTTAGAAATATTTCTTAAAAAAAAAACAGTAAATAGATTCTTGAATTCAAATGAAAAGTATTTCATTCAGTAAATTAAATTTATTATTAAAAGTATATTCAAAAGTGCCGATATAAAATTAACAAAATTAATTCATTATAATATCTATCAATATATATTACCATCTTTATTGATACATATAAATATATTTACATAAATACATTATATAATATAAAGATCTGCATTATCAAGATTTATCTAACATCATTATTAATCACTATTTTATTTAATTCATACATAAATATATTAATTTTAATACAACTTACAGTTGAGATGCAGTTTTCTTCAGATTAAATATTTTTCTAAATATTTAATTAATACAAAATTTGAAATATCTACAAATATACATGAATAAGCATGCAAATATAGGCTTATATGAGCGTATAAAAATAAATACATGAGTATTGCGAATCAAACAAACCCAATACGAACGACATGTATAGTTATTCCCCCCTCTCAATCTGTCTATCTATCTATCTATCTATCTATCTCTTCTTCTACTGTGTGGTGTGTATTTCCCAAATATTTAAATATATTTGTAGAAGAATATATCCTAGTATATACACCTAGTATATACCTATGTGCTCTTTTGCTATCATTATTCTTTTTTTACTGCATACTGACATGCGCCCTTTCTGTTTTATTATAGTATTAGACTTAATGAGGGGCTCTTTGATTTTATCTTCTTTTTTTTGAAATGCTAGTTTTCACTACCCCACATTATGATTTTCTTTTTTTTATTCAGTCGGTAATTAATTGATCTCTAAATTAGTATCCTAATTACAGGATAATTATTATAATTGTTAGAATGTGTATTGTTCCAACTAGAACTAATTTTAATCACAGCGCTGTTTATAAATTAATTGTACATTCATGAGCTTAATTTGGATTGCAACGAAATGTTTAAAATCGACGAAATTTCGATAAACGTTGATGAACCAAAGTTTAGTTTGGTAAAATATTAATTCTATAGATAAATATCAGTAACAATTAAATGCTTAAACAATTTGATAATATTAAAATCTATATATCTTACCGAATTGCCGCAAAGTCTTCCGTAACTGGGACTAGATGTATCAAGACCTGAATGAACTTCAACCCAATCATATTTGCAATCATTTTCATCTTCTAGATTAAATGATAAAAAATTAAGATGTACATTTTTTCCAAGAGGCGCTTCTATAATCCAATCACAATCCATTTTTTGATCGTAATTTTGACTTCCATAGCGTGAATGAGAGTAAAAATATTTTACATGATCGGTTGCTGTTAAATGGCCTCCACAAGCTGCATATTTTATAAATTAAATAAAAATTAATATATCTATTTAAAACTAAAGTTATTTAATAATGGTTTTTAAGAATTAACAATATTTATTAAACAATTGAATAGTGATTTTTTTATGAACACCTGTCTCGTAAATAATCAAATTATTCTATGACAATTACTATAGCATTTTCTAAGTTAGCAATTATATACGATTTACAAAGTACATCAAGAAGTAGACAAGATAGATTATTTATAATGTATTAGTTTTATTCAAGAAATCAAGGATTTATTTCACAATTCAATTCAAATAATTGAAGGAAATTGAGAATAATTTTTCTTATATTTTCATATAATATTATTTAATAATTAATTTTATATTGAAAGTTATACATTTTTTAAATTACTCATTATTCAGATGAAATACAGAATTATGATAATTAAATTATTTATTTTAAATAAGTTATTAATTTAATGTATATATAATTCTATTAATAAAATATTTAATTTTTTAAACTAAGTTTTAATTAGCCGTTTATTTATATTATAAATAATGATTACACAATGTAACATTAAATTAACAAAAAGTACCTGTCATGTGTTGGGCAAAAAATCCTTGCTTTTGAATTGACATATCACTTTTAAAAACCATGAACATTTGATTTCCTGTTGCTAAAATTGGATGAGGCTCTTTATTTCCACAAAAACGACCAAGTATTTGACTATCTGGAGAATCGCCATCATAAATTACAACATGATCATAAGCACACTGTTGATGAGGTTCCATATCGAATACCTTAAACAACTAAAAGATTTGATCATGAATTTCATTCCATTAATGTAGCCACTAATTTAACTGCTTATATATTGTTAAATATATAAAAATATTTAATTATATAACTAAAATGTATAATTTGTAGATAGTGAATAATAAAAATGTTTGGAGAGAGAAGAGCGGCTAATAATATTAGCTCAGTAATCATATACATGCTTACCAATTTTATTCGATGTCCAGGTGTTGTTGTAAAGTGCCAAACGCAGTCTTTCTTGCCTGGATAGTAATCTGGATAATTTGGAGATGTGATTGTACCGGATGGTGCAGTTATTTCATATTTGCATCCACCTTCCTTACAGTCATGTCCATTGTCATGGAGTATAAATCCATTGTGACAGGAACAATGATAAGATCCTATTGTATTTTTACATTCATGTTGACAGTCACCATTATTGTTTGCACATTCATCCATATCTGTGAAAAATAGTGCAGCGAATCCTGACTTTTGCATACTAGAACATTATATAAGCAGTTAAATTAGTGGCTACATTAATGGAATGAAATTCATGAATTAATGTTTGTAATTACTTAGTAGGTAGAGGTTTCAATTATGCAGAATAATTTTTCAAGAAATAAATCTATATTTTCTTACGTGGAAATTACTTATTTACAGTATAACTATATACATTATCATGTAATTAATTGTACATAATTATAATGTAAGTATTAAATTTTCTGCATAGCTATTTTTTATACATTTTTTTATTTATACATTTGAGAGACTATGTAAAAAAATAATAAATATATTTAACAAATCATATAAATTTAATAAAATAAAACAACTTTACATTATTATACATAATAATAGAATACATTTAATTATTATTATTATGTTAATCCTGTTATTACATGCATTTTTTGTTATAATTCATATTAAATATTAGCTGTAATATTTTTATAATCATAATATTTTCACAATTTAAAATGATTAAATGTAACTTTATAAGCAGAAATCATATCCGTAAACGAATATAAGTTTATTAAAAATAAATGAGAATTAATAATAACTTTTATTTTTAATATTTATAAATATTATTATTTATATTATTAAATCAGTAACTTATTTAAAAGTAATAAAAATTATATTTGAGTTTTAAATAGATTTTTTTAAATATTGTGATGTTTTGTAATAAAATTCTAAAATTTCTAAAATATATGTATGCAACTATTCTACATTTTAATTTCGAATTGAGAATTCGAATACAAGGTGCTCCAATGAACATATGAACATTGGACATGTCCTATCATTAAAATTATTTAATACATAGATTTTAAATGCCATTAAGAAATATTAGTACAACAGCTGTCGATTTTCAATCATAATCGTACCATATTTTATGATTAGCCTCATTGAAAACTTTACGAAAAGATGTTTAAATCTGCCTAGCGATTTATAAAATTTTTACTATTGTAATTATACTGACAGACTGTACATGTGATATATTAAAAAACTATAAATAATAAGATAGATTCATTTTATTATTCCACATTATTTATTAAAACATTATTTATTCATAAAGAATATTATCAATTTATTTTGTTTAAACAAATTATTTTTATAATAAATTTAAACTCAAAATTTGTTGTTTCTTCTAATCTGATATAAGCAATACAATCCATTTTAATTAATTATCTTTTACAATTGCATTTATTGCCATGTTAATAAAATGTTTATAATAATAAGACATATTGTTAAAAGGATATCTAAAAAAATTATCGACTACATAAAAACTTTAATGTTTAAAAATTCAGAGGAATTGTTCATATGTGTATCTATTACTTAAGGCATAGTTTAGTCTAAGAATTCGAATATATTTCAATAAAAATACGATATAGAATATATAACAGCGGAATATATGATATTAATTTAAATCTAAAGTAATGCACTAATGACGTCAGCTTACCGCAAATAAAATTTACATAGTTTCTCCTTTAAAAAAGTGATAAATGTTTATTTTATAAAATGATATACTTTAATATGGGCATGGAACTCTAAAAATTATCTTAATGAAATAAATTATATACATGTTCATCTGTCACATTGATATTTATACAAAACATTAATTTAGGGTAACAATACATGTTTTATGTGCAAGTATGGTACTTTGATCATATCATTATATTTTTAATATATAATACCATATAATTTTTATATAATATATTTAATGCAATATGCCTTTATATTTTAGAGGATGTTTATTATTGATTAAAAATCTCTATTATACATCTAAAATTTCAGAAAAAACAGGACATTGATTAATCTATTAGCTATTTATTTTAACATTGGCATCACATTCTTATATAAAAAATTTTATTAGTAATTTTATAAGTAATTTTTTTATTTGTTTTGATCTTATATGTCTGAATTAAAATTAAAAAAAATTAATTAAACACTTTCATACATAATACTAAATCATAATTTATAATGATTATAATAATTATTATAATAAAAATAATTATAATAATTTATGATTTACTAAAAACATAAATATCTTTAATATATAATATATTTTATATATTTCTTATAATCTTTGTGACTGTTATTAATTTTTTCTTTTTTACAGATTCCTCGATAGAATATTGTAATTGCAAATATTAATCTTTGACGTTAGAGTTCTTAGTTATTTTATATTTGAAATCTAAAAATAAATAATTTAAAATTATTATTTATAAAATTTATAATTTATTAAAAAAGAATAAAATTCATTAATATGTGAAGGAAAATAGTTTAAAGTAACTTAGAAGTTCTCCGAAATAAAGTGAATAATGAAATATAAAAAAATTATATTTAACTTAAATCATCTATATTTTTGTGTTATAGAAATTTAACTGAATGGTTTTCAAATATTGTGGACAAACACACGTGAAATGTAGAACAATTTTTTTATCATAACTTTATTATACAACTTAATAGTGTATAATTTTTAACAGAATATTCTATATCTTATTTTAGTAATAATTTATTATTTATTTCATGTTAATTAATGATACTACGTATTTATATTTAATTTTCATAATTTACAATTTTCATCATTTCAAATATCAATAATCTGGAAAATATTTATCATATATATTAGTTCAATTATCTAAAATCTGTAATTTTCTGATTAAAATATTTATCTAAGTATCTTAAATATTAACAACGTAATAAAATAATAAAATATAAATTTATATAAATTTATTAAAAATACAATCAGCAAAGAGTATAAGTATTTACTAACCTATTATCCGAAGAAAATATGATTTTTAAAGAATTACTCTCAGATGTTATAAGGGGCGGTGGCTTTGAACCACAGTAAATGCCATGTTTCTTTAATAAGTCATCACCGAGCTTACTAGAAATTTCAACCCAATCATATTCGCATGGCTGTTCGTAAACATGGTTGCCCTCTAAATCAAAATGGGTGAAGTTCAAAGTGATTCGATATTGGGGTGGTGCAATAATTTCCCAAAAGCAGTGTTTATTGCCTGGATAGGTCTCAGGGAAAGACGGACTTGTAATAGTACCATTGCTCGTCTCAAACACGCCTCCGCAAGCATCTTTACCAATAATACAAATTAAGAATAATTTAATAAATAACTCTAAGCTATATATAAATAGATATGCATTTATTCTGAAGTAATATCATAGTAATTTTATGGATAAGTAAAGGCAAATACATTATAGAATAGAATAGTGTTTAAAAAATTTAAATATTTTTTCATAGTCTACATTTAATATATCTTTATATATAATCAACTACTATTAAGTTTTATGAAAAGTAATAATTGGATTAAAAAAGCAAATATACATTTTTCAGTTAATACTCCAATGAATAAATTTATTTTTATGTTCACACAATTATAAATAAAATAGTAAATATATTACAATGTATTATTGATTTCAATTTTGTATGAAAAATATTATTTTACTTCATTCATTAATAAATAAACGATAATTTGTAACGAATTCTAATTATGGTTTTATACGTTACCTTCACAGTGTTTTCCATCTGAATGAAGTTCAAAACCAATCTTACAGGAACATTCATATCCTCCTAAATTATTTATGCATTCATGTTCACATCCATGATCGGTCAAAGCACATTCGTCGAATTCTAAAAAAATAAAATGGAAAATTTAAAACGACTTAAATTCTTTGTTTTCAATTACTCAGTAAGTTATATTTTCATTTATAATAAAATTACTTATAATTTAATTAAAATAAATTTTTGTAAATTCCACACTATAAAAACATTCTTTTATTCTTGTAAAAATTTAAAGCTTCAATATTTAAAAAATAGCATTTATATGTTTAAGTTAATTTGAAACTAATTCAACAGTAAGTTCACAAATATCAATCTATTAAAACAATTTCTTGGGGTCAAAACAACTATTTATTATTTAATAAATGTACTGTTAATTTCCAAACAATTGTAAGGCCAATAATTGGTCAACAATAATAGTTAAAACTTATAATTAAAATTAATTAATAATAAATTAATAATAAATAAAATTATGATTTGCTACAAACTATATATGAAAAATTGTGAAAAATAATAACGTTAAAAATTTCAAAATTATACAAGAATAATCAATTCGAATGGTAAAATGTCATAGAAATGTAGAGTTTCGATTAGAATGTATTTCTTTACTTATTATTATTATAATTAAACTGTTAATTGCTTATTAAATAATCATTGTAACATAAAATCTTAAGATTATTAAAAAAACTATAAAAATCGTCTGTAATTTGGTTATTATTGTTTGTACTAATAAACTATCGCAGAAAGTTATAAACTATTTATAATAGTTGCTATTTATAATATCATCAGCTAATTAATATAGATATTTCGATAACTATTAATTTCATAGATAATAAAATGTTCCGATTACTGAGAATTTTTTTCATAAATGCATTAAGATTTTAAGGAAAGAAAACGTAAAAGTAACTATTACGTATAACACAAATCTTAAACGCAACATTAAGCATTGTATTAATATTACAGATATAAAAGCATTGGTAACTATTTTCAATATTATAGGTTAAAATATTCTAAAAATTCATTAATATATATGAGAAACACTTATAAAATAAATTTGTAAATAGGAATATGAATGCGAGCAGCTTTTAAAGTATATGCTACACGCTTGTATATAGATTAAAACAAATATTTTTATCTACGTTTAAATATTATTTAAAAATTTCACTATACTTTCTAAAATATATATTTTAAAAATTATTTCACATTTAGAAAAAATTATAATTAACATTTTTCTTATTTGAACAAATCATTTAAATTATATAAGCAATGTTTGATGTATTATTATTTAAACAACTGAAACAATAAAATTAATGTTAGCCTTGAATGTATAATTATATAAAGACATTACATTTTACGCTACATTTTTTGTTTGATATCCACTTCAAATAATCTAACTTGAAATTTCAATTGATATCGTAAAATATATCTTTTACGAATATCATGCTTAATTTCTTATAACTACTTTAATTGTTAATAGTGTTTCTAATAGTTTCAATATTAAATATAACTTTAATATAGTGCAATATAGTAATAGTACTTACAAAAATTAATGTAATATAGTATCTTGAAAAAAATCGCAAAATACTGATTTTTTTGTCTCCTAACTGACCATAACCCTTTAACAAAATTGAACTCTTCTTTTGTAAATCTCAATTGGGATCACTGGATCAAGAATAAGTAATTGTTTTAACGTTTTAGACCTATTATAATAAACTACATTGCGTTCGAAGTTATTACCAGTAGATATATTGCCTACGTAGTTAACTACCTTTCATAAATGTAGCGGAAAATCCAGCCTTCTGAACAGAGCTATCACTGACGAATTTTACAAGCAACTTGTTACTTGTAGACCGTATGTCTGGAGGAAGCTTATAACCGCAATAAATGCCTATAAGTGGTGAATCAGCGACGTGTCCATCACGTACCTCGACGTAGTCATAAACACAGTTGTCATGACTCTCTATTTCAAAAGATTGGAATTTCAGGGCCACTTGGTAATCCTGAGGTACTATGAGTCGCCAAATGCATTCTTTACTCGAATGATATTCTTCTGGATAATTGGGAGACTCGAGATGACCAATTCCGTCCAATTTCACGTCGCCTCCACAGATTGCCTCGTAGTCAGCACTAAAGCCTCCGTGGCCACTCTGTCGAGAGGATGTAACGTATGTAACCAGCATTCGACTGCTTGTCGAAATGACGGGATTAGGGATTTTTCCGCTGCCGCAAAAACGACCTATCATAATTTAATTTTAGATGATTAAATACAATTTGCTGGTGTATTATATTACTTATATATAGATATATATTAAATGAAAGGAAAGAGAACTAACATAAAATTAAAATAACTTACATAAAAGTTTGAAAGTAAACAAAATAAAATCTTATACCGATAACAGTAAAATTTGACATCATCATTGTCAAATAGTACAATTGTTTAATCATTGGAATAAAGTTGAAAGATTCCTCGTGAATTTACAATTTAAAATAACAAAATAAAATATGATTTAATATTCCATTATATTTATTTATCCTTATCAATGGAATATAAGTTGTTAAATATTTCAATATTTTATTTAAATTAATGCTCCAATTTAAAAAATTATTGGAATTAATAAGTAAACAACAAATATATATATATATACAAGACAAAAAAAAACAAATATTAAAATTTATATTAAAATCTTTATTTTTATTATTTAGTTCATAAATTAAATAAGAAATCATTTTCATTTATTAAATATTATATATAATAAATTGTTATAGTTTCAAATTTTGTTGATTTCACATAAAAATTTAAAAATAAATTGTAGAATATGAAAATATCGAAATATTTCATGAAAGTAATAAGAAAATATCTATTATATATTTTTAGGAATAATTTTGTATATAGATTAATATTTAATAACTTATTAATTTTTAAGAATGTATATTTTAAAAACAAGTGTAACAAAATAATTAGGAATATAATTCTCTAAATAAAGCTGTTTAATAGTTTCTAAAGCTTTGATAATTATAATTATAATTACGTTATTAAAAATAAGTCCTGCGTTATATTATAATATTATATTATAATATTTCTTAAATCTGTTTATTAAAATAAATAGATAAGCATTGTTCAATGTTCACGAAATATAATTGTTCATTCATCGAATCATCACATACCTTATAAAAAGTTTTTGACAAATAAATACGTTAATTATAAATATCCGCATGTTTATCGTTATTTGTAAAAGTAAAGTGACGTAAAGTAGCTTTCCTTTACAATTTCTCAAAGAAGGAATGAAAATTAGAGAAGAAAATAGTAGGTTGATTAGTTATAAGTCGTAACTAAAATGGATGTACTAATTTACCAAGAACAGCGCTTTTATGCCAATAGCCGTCACGTATTTCTAGATAATCAGTACGACAGTAATCACTTTTAAATATATCTAAAAAAGTGATATTAAGGATAATGCGTTCTCCGTGTGTAGCAGTAATACGCCATTCGCACCGCTCAACGTCACTCGATGGCGAGCTGTTTGGGTGGCTCGGTGAACCGAAAGTCCCACTATTTTCCTGAAATGTTCGACCACATTCTGAAACATATATTAGTAAATACCATTAACATTAAAATCTATATTTTTGTAATAATATTACTTCATACAAAATTTAATATTTTTCGTTATAAACTCTACTTAATTCACATATTGTATCTAATGAATTTATAATTCATAATTAATAAATTAATAATATAAAACTTTAAAGATAAGACATTAAGTAAATCGTTTTTGAGATTTTAAATAATTTTAATCAAATTTTATTAAAGACTATGTATTTATCATTAGCAAAATATTTATATATATGAATTTTAAATCAAATTATGAGTATTAGGTATAAATATGAAGGTTTACAGATTTAATATTTAGATAATGCGATTCTCATAATGATTTTTTTTAATCCATTTTAAGTGATAGTTATAAATTCAATGAATTTTCAATTCATACACAGTAATGTCCTTCTAACTTGTAATAATAATTATTTAAGATCATTTTATTTGTATATTTATGTATTAATACTAATTTGTATTAAATAGATAATAGTAAGAAAGTAATTCTAGAATATTTAATAAAACATAATTGAAGTATGTAAAATTCAGTGATTAATTCCATCAATGTAACTTTTTGATAAATAAAAATATTAAATAATTATAATAATTATTAATCTTATATATATTTTTTTCTTTATTCGGTAATTTATAGATTTTATATTTTAAGAATAAAAAGAAAATTAAGGTATAATTGTGAATAAATCTTACTCTGACATTTATAAAGTAAATTCGTTTGTGCTATATCTCCTTCACTTAAACGTACTCGTTGACCAATTTCAGGTCTTTTCAACCCATGGCTTTCCATTGGCAAAATAGTATCTAAGTAAGTACCTTTGGAAAATGTATTCTTTGCATAATGCATAATGGAGTCATAATCATATGGTAACCCCAACGAATTTACTTCGTCTTCGGTTAGTTTATTAAAATTATACTCCTGACCTGAAATAAATATTATTTAATATAATTTCAATAATATTATAATGATATAATACACTCTTCAATATAATTACAAATAATTATTAGCAATACTATTTATTCAAAACTATCATGGATTCATAAAGAAAATTGCATTTCTTATTTTTCTTTAATGAAAATAAAAAAAAATATAAAAATAAAAATTACACTATTAATTCATTAAAATATAAAAAATAATCATAATATATATTCAAGCGAATAATAAAAATGTAAATATATTTACTGATTATATTAATAATAACAACACTAATAATAATAATACCAACAATGTATTTGGAATATTATTTTTATAAAATTACATCAAAAGTTTAAATTACCTGTCATAATATTTTCACGAATAATTTGCACATGTCGGTCACGATCCGGACGCGTATGTTCATGCCAAAAACCTACAACATGCCCTAGTTCATGTACAACAATTCCAAATTTGTCACAATTTTTTCCAATACTGATGGCTTGTGGTCCATTACCACGCTTTCCAACAAAAGAACAGCATCTAAAATAAGAATTCCAGTGTCTTTAAAATTAATACTAATATTTTATTTACATCTAACATAGATATATTTTAAATTCAAATATATGTTGAAATTCAAATAAATTAAAAAATATCGGACATCAAATATTTTAGAAGAAAGCAGTATATGTAAAGTTTATTTATAATTTTTGTATAAATTTCAGAATTCTATTGAAACTATTTATATATTTAAATGTGAATGCCCTGTTTCATTTAATTATACGAATGAAAATTTTTTTAAAATAGATATAATTCATAAAACAATACATGGTACATAAAACCAATATATTTTATAATGATACTAAACATGTTATTTTCTATATAATTAAAAATAAAATTATATTTGTTTAAAAATTCCTTATTATTCAGAAAATATAGTCGATTATAATTTAATTATTTTCATTAATTATTTTACACAAATTTGATAACATTATAAACGAAGTTTTGATCGCATAACTTTATAAATGTTTAAAATTTAAATCGTTTATCGCACAAATTGCTTTAAAGTAATTTAAATTGACAATGATTTTTCATAAATATATATGGAATAAAAAATCCAATTATGGATTATATTTATAAAAATGCTATTTATACTAATGTAAATGTGTACATACATTAGCAATTTTAACTAAATTGAAATATTGATATTTGTGTATATATTACATGCAATTTACATTACTCTTTTATACCATAAATAAATAAATGAACAATCACAAATCAACACCATGAATAATTATTCAATGTATACAAAATTAATGCAGAAAATTCTTTGATGCAGTAAGCATGTACAAATCACAAAAATTTTAAATTTTATTCAATCAAATTTCTTGAATTTACTGGATATATATATATATATATTCAATATATATATATATATATATATATATGGAAAATATATTTCTTTATTCAATTCCATGATGTTCCTAGCATACCCGCAAGGTCGTTCAGTAAAAACGATGTAATTAGGATGCTCCCGGGCCACGCGTTCCACAAATTTGACGCAAGTAAAATTTTCCCAGTGACGCATTGCTTGTTTGAATAAAGCCTTGTGCACCCCTGAGAAGTTACCGTCGATTTCGTAAGGTATAACTCCATGATCCCAGACGCGATCCTTACGTGCAGTTGCTGCACGTTTTTTGCGTATCAACCGTCCTCGAAATCCAGCTGATCCTTGTAACTCATAAGACTGTATTAATCTGCTTTGTTCATCTTGTACTCGCTGATTGCTATTTGAATTTATTGAAGCCTTGTCTCTACCTTTCTTATGCTTGTACTTACTCTTGCTGCGCCTATGTTCTAGATGATTTCGTATTTCCGGTGGTCTATGAAATATAAAACGTTTTAGTAATTTCATCTTACACATACTATAACTGTGTTTAATCATTTTATTCACATTTAAATTAAAGTTTGATTTTTATACTAGTATAATTTTCAATTTAACATATATACGGTCTCTTTTCAAAGAAGTCTGGTACTTTAAGTGATAAATAATTAAAATATCAATGCAATTTTGGTGTAAATATGTTATAATTCTTGAATGCTTAACAATTTTATAAGAATAAAAATTATTATACATTTTGTTTATGTATAATGTACGTGTATAATATATTATGTAAATGTATGTGAAGACAAATCATTATCAGATTCAAGCTAAATTGACGTTTAACTAGTTAAATATTTTGTTATATAATAAAGAAAGGAGCATGCTGTAACTACATTTTTAAATTGCTTGATTAGTTTTACTAGTTGAGCTAACTGTTAAAAACGTATTAGTTGAATGGAAAACATTAAATTATGTATACAAAAGCATTGATTTAAAATAAATATCTACATTTAAAAGTTTAATATAAAAAGTTAAATGGAAAAAAGTAAGGTTAACAATTGAATCTTACAAATTTGTGAAAGTATATTTTTACCTCATTGGTCTTAATTAAATAATTGACTTAGTATGAATACAAATAAATAATTAATTAATAAAAATATATAAACAAATTATTTTAATTTGCTTTTAGTTTGTTATGGTGTATTAGGAATCTCGTGCGTCAATTGCTATTAAAAAACATAAAATAGTTATTAGTATTTATAAAAAAGGAATAAATTTTCATTTTACATTCATTATAGAATTTAATTAAAAATATTAAATTTAAATTGAAAATTTATTGCACTATGTAAGTAAAATATATATTAAATATATTTTACCTTATTTTCAAAGTACATATTTATCAAAAGTATTTTAATGATCTTCTACGAACTCAGTGACATAAGTATTCTACGAGTGTAAATATCTAAACATTTTTTTTAATAAATCGTTATATATTAAATTTATAATTTTAAGAAATATAATTTAATCCATTATCATATATTTTATTAGTAATTTACGATGATCTATAATTTTCAATAATCATATTTACATTTTATGTATACAAACATTATTTTAGATAATAATAATATTTATTCAAAAATCTTTTTTTCATTAAAGTATTATTAGCATCTATATGTGTTATACCTCTTGTAGTAAATTAAATATAAAATAATATATATTTCAGCTCGAATTCACTTAATAATTTGTATAGTAATTTTTTGATCGTATTATGATTAATTCTTATAATTATAAAGAATCGATATTCAATACAAATTGTAAATATATGTACAAATATTCCATTAATTAATTAATTGAAATTATTAAAAATCTTACTTCCGTCGATGATATCGCCTTTTTCTAATTTGTGGTATGGCAGTGGAAAAATGTTCACTGGGAAAATCATTTTCCGTTAAATTCTTGACATTGAATTTATGACCTTCAATAAATTTTGGTGGTATTAATTCTTGTCTATTAAAAATTATACCTATACTTTCAGATAATGTTTGTTCACTGTTACCATGTTTTAAGCCTTTGATTTCTTTTAATCTAGTATTTTTAATATATTTTTCCATACTTTTTTCCGGAACATCATCACTTAAGCTAAAAATGTAATCAAATTCTTTATTACAAAATTTTAAATATTTATTTACACATATATTACTAATTTCAAATAATGACATTAAAATTTGTTGTTTATCACTATAATAATAGAGTGCTCTCTATAAGAAACTTTCTATTATTAATTATATTATTCAATCACTATTAAGTTTCTAATAGATATTAATACTATATTTATACATTATATTTATAATATTTATACTTTAAAAATAGATTGAATATTCATGTAAGTTTAATTAAATATATTATGATAATTATCTTTTACTTCCTATAATACTCTATAAATACTATTTAAATACTATACCATGCTCTAATACTATTTTAGTATAATTATTATAATTACTATAAATCCTTTTTAAATTATAAATTAATTATAATTTAATTCTTATATTTAGAAATAAAATTTTAATTAATATTTATAAGTTATAAATATCAATAATATTAATAAAGTATTAAATATTTTTTACATCTGATAGCGTGCTAAATGTATCAAATTAAACTCAGATTTTAAATTACAAGTTTTTAGAAGTGAAGTAAATTACGATTGTAATCAGATGTTTTGTTCTAATACGTATTCCTTAATTCCTTTAAAATATTCAATATTTTGAGAATTTTTAATTCATTCTTTTTACTATAAAATTTTTGGTTTGTAGATAAATTTATCATAAAGTAATTTTTTATAGAACATTTCATAGACAATGCGAGCAATATAATTTTTTAAAATATATCTTAAAGAGCATTAAAAAAAATGTTTTACTTAAACAGATTGAAAAATTTTACCATTTTGTAATATATAATTTGTATCACGTATCAACTATATAATAATCATGTAATAGTTCAAAAGAATAATTATTGTATTTTGTAATTTTACCTAAAGACGAACCCATAATCTTTAACTTCAGTAGCCTTATCATCTTTTTCAGTTGTTTCTATTTGATATTGATTATGATTACGTGCACTAGATTTAATATTATTTTCCTTCTCCTTTTTATCATCTTCGTTTATATGGTGTAAATTATGTGCATGCTTAAAATTTAAAATTTCTGAAATAAAAGTTCAGAATAACCTTTTTATGTTTTAAAAAATAAAAAATGTACTATTTCATGAATACAATAAAATTTATTAAATTTATTTATTCTATATTTAAAAAAATATATATATATATATATTTACCATTTAGACCTTCTTCTTCTATTTGTAGTCCTTCTTTAAATATCTCCTCTCTATAATTTTCAAGTTCATCAAGAAAACGTTTATTCAATAATTGTTTACGCCACTCGGTTTCGTATTTTAAATTTGGTAATGCAATGTCACCAAGAAATCCTCCTAGAATATTATCAATTAATTGATTTTTAATTATATTATTTTATTGAAAGAACTCTTTACAAAAAATTGCAATAAAATAAAATAATTACTCAATAGAAACAGAATTTCATTTAGCAAATAATAGCAATTCAAATTATTAAAATTTTTTTTGAAAATGATATACCTTTAAAACAAAAGAAATTTTTTTTTTTAACATTTATTACATAATAAAACGATATTAATACAACATAGTTATACAATTTTTGTACTATTTAATATTTAGAATTTTAGAAGAAATTCAACATTTTTATCCCGAATTTATATTTTATAATTGTACAATCGTCTCCACTATCTTTCGTATTATAATACAAAGTTTAGAAACATTTTATTACTTTAAGAATATTTGTTCTATTAAAATATTATACAGTCTTTTCGATTTTTTAATTACATTCCAATTTTTTACATTAAGTAATTAAAAACAGCAGTAAGACAAAATCAAATAATAAGCTAAAGTTTCTGTTGAAAAATTTACAAGCTAATTAATACTTTAAATAAACAGTAATTGATGTAGTTATCATTAATCAATTTTGTTATTTATAAGATGGATTTTATAAAGTGATATTTTGAAATATAGAATACATATTGTACAATCTAGTATATCTGCAACAGTTTATTGAAATTTAGATAAATATGGGAATAATACAGGAAGTTTAAAAATATGATTAAAAATTTACATATTAATAGAATTTTATTTTAGCTAATGAGAACTTCATATTAATAAAAGTAAAAAATACTCATATAATCATACAATACATCATAAGAAATAATATCTAAAGACATTTGAAAAATATATTCTGATGAAATAATAAGAAAGTTATTATGATTTGTATACGTAATATTATAATGTTAGTACTTTGTGTGTATTAACTTTTTGAATTGTTAGTAGTTGATAGCAGGATAGTAATGCTTACATTAAATCATACTATGTCGAGTATTATTAAGTCTTTAGAAAAATTATTTGGCATTAGATATTTATATATCTCATGAAAATTTATTTTTTCATTTTCATCTTCTTTTATCGGTTTTAAATTATCTATTAGTAGAAAATCATAGCTAATATATTAAAACTCATAATTATCTTCATCAATATTCAGTATAATATATTGTAATAAATTCTTTTTGAAATATAATCCAAAGTTTAAATTATATGACAGTAAAAGAATGGCAATATTTCAAAATATTTTGAAAAAAATATATTATTATGTTTCATTATTATTTATGTTTTATATATTTTCATGTTTCAAAATACTTTATAAAATTAACCTAAATCTATAAATATTGATCTAATAACTTAAAATGTTATTTTAAAAATTTAAATACCCTAAAACTTTTTGTTCTAAATATTGGAATAATTATAAATATTCTTCTTAGTAAATCTTGAAGTTCGAATATTAATTAGTTGTAAATATACACAAGATTATTTCGATGGCTTGATACATTCATATATATATATATATATATATATATATATCCATTTATTAATGAATATGATGTCACCACATTTGAAATATGTAGGCTTATGATAAGTTTGTATTATTATCATCAAAAAATATAATAAATAATTTATATTTATAAAACTCTATAAAACAACCAAAAAACTGAAACTGAAATTGAGACTTAAATTTAATCGTAGTTTATATTTACTTTCAAACAAACAAAATCAATATACGTTGCGTTTTTACCTCAACAACCATATTTATTTATAAGAAAAGTTTGTTTGATAATTTATTTAAAAAGAACATATTCAATTAAAAATAACAATATAGTTCATTTTTTACTACTAAATTTAAATTCTATATTGTGTGTAAATATTTTACTGTGTATTGAAATATCTAATGTTAGTTAGCACAAGACAGCTTTAAAAATCGTACATTATGAATACTTAGAAAAATGTACAGTTGATAATATAATTTATTTAAAATATTGATTGTTATTGTTATGAATGTAAATATAGAAATAGATATTATTTAAATAGGTTATTATATAATAAAATTTCTTTTATAAAACTGACAGATAACCATCCAGATGGTGAATTAAATATCAATTTTATTCCTATATCATCTTTTACCGTTCAACCATAAAAAGCTATATAGATCGTTATATATCTATATAAATTCATTTATTGAACTCTAAGCGTCTAATTTTCAATATTATTAGTATTAGATAATTTTCTTTTTCATTTGTAATTTAATATTTAAGTATATTTAGTTAATAATCTGTGTTAATTTTTATTCTATTATGTTTATAAAAATTACAGTGTTTTCTTACTTAAAATTTATCAATCGCTTTTGGATTTATTCATTTAATTATTTTTAATAAATGATTATATATCTTAATTATTATGTTTTCAATTATACTGGATTTTTTACATTATCTTAAACAATATTCAATATTTTTAAACAAATACTTTTAAGATATTAATGTTCCATTATATTAATCTACTTTTTAATGGAGAATACGGTATATTTATTTACATACATAATTTCAAAGAACCTGAAGTCTTTTATAATTTTGTCTAAATGTAGGTTTTTTTAATTTATTAACATCTGACAAGATAAGCGAATTTGTAAAAGTAAAATAGTAATGAAACATTTTATATAAAATTAATATCATAAACTATAGAAAATGCATTGAAATGGGTATAAGTAATCAATGTATATATTTTTAAACTATTAAAATTGGAGGAGGTATCCTTTATAGTATATATAACATCTACACTTCAGCATAGTTAATTATTAAAATAAATTACGTATTGAATAATCAGAGCTTAAAACCTAATCTGTTCGTTTTAAAGTAAAGAGCTATTACTTTATTAAATAAAAATTGGCATAGATAAGATAAATATTTTGAATTTTCTCTTTGCAGTATCTATTCGCATAATATACTTCTTTTTTCTGTTTCCCTTCAAAGTATATATTATTTATTTATTATTTATTTAATATTAAATTTTTATTTTAATTTTCTATAATCTAAAAAATACATATTTATATATAAATATTTATATATAACTTTATATGGGTGCCTATCAATATAGATTAAATTATTAAGCGAAAACGATTTTATAAATATACAATAGTTTATATATATATATATATATATAGATTATTGCTATAAATAATTATAACAAATTCTGTAATAATTTCAATGACTAGAATAAACGTGTACTTTCTTCTACATATAACACAACTAGTATCTGTACATGTACATTTTTTTTTCTAAAAAATCCCTATTTATAAAGCGGAGTTTCTGCTGTTCGATTAACAAAGCCATAGAGAACATATCATGAATAACTATCACCTTAATCGCACATAGAGTGCTCATGTAGGGCATGTAATGAAATTTTCTAAATAACATTTGAATTTCAAGGTACACGTATTTAATTAATTTTTATATAAAACTATATGGTAATAATTATTTCAGAGAATAATCATCTTTTCTTGTATATGAAAATAATAAGATTACAATAATATAGTTCATATTTTCTTTTACAATAGTGTTGTACAGCACGTTGAAATTGTTCATTGAATGCGAAACTAATGAAAGAAGTATTGCACGAACATTAGTGGAGTACTTAAAGACTAGTCATCGGCTGTGCAGATTACAAGTTATTTTTATTTATGAACAAGAGTATTCAACACTCGCATTCCGTGTTCATATATCATTTGCATCTTCTGTTTTTTATGATCTTATTGCATTATTACTTACATTAATTTTTGTAAATTTTATGGTTTCACATTTACATTAAATAAATATAATTAACTTTCATTTCATTTATTCTATCGTATTTCTACTTTCGTATGCAATTACCTATGCTTTGCAGTGTACTTTTGTGCTTCCGTGGCACTTATATTTTTTGTGCTTAAAGTTAGGTAATATTTATACATATATTTTTATAAAATTATAAATAATATATACAATGATAACTGCGTAAATATTTTGGCTTGTATCTTTAGTTTGTAAAACAAGCATCGCTATATAACATTTTTTTACTAATAGTTAACTGACAATTTTTATTTTATTGTTTATTTATGTAAAAATTTATTACTACCACCGTAATTGTGTAGTCCTTTTCTTTATACTATCATCTCACTATTGCTCTCTCATTGTATCTACAAGTGAAAATATAGCATTCAAAGAATATACAGTTAAGATATTCATACTTTTCATTTACTGCGTTAATTTAATTTCATAACTTTTGAAATATATATTTTCTTCATAACAACTCTATCTCATGTTAAATTATTAATTCACAAGCAAAAAGCAAATTAATTTAAAAAGTTATATCATTAAAATATACTAATTTTATATTAACTGTGTTGGTACTTTTTATTATTATTTTATTTATGTAATTATATTTAAATATATTTGTATTAACAATTATCGTAAAAATAACTATTGAAAGTGAACTTTATTTTTAATGTTTACATTTTATATAAGTTTCATATATAAATTATATATGAAATGATTAATTAAAAAGTTTCATGAAGAAAATATACAATGGAATATACTAAATAATTTTACAGAACCAATAAAATACGTTGACTTTAATTAAAAATATATTGTAATATTCAGATACAAATGTAATTAGAAATTATTGGATAGAAAACAAATCGAAAGCGAATTGTCTATAAACGAACGTTCATATTCATTTTTCAGTTTGTTTTTATAATGTTCTATGTTGAATTCAATATGTGAATAATGAACTCAAATTTTAATTTGTTAATTTAAATTAATATTTAAATTAACTTGTAAATATTATTTATAACGTGTTTGTAATTTCTCTCAATGTACTCAACAAAAATTTTAATTTTTTTGGAGTTCAAAAAGATAACCGATAAGATAAAACAACTCATTCAAAATTCATTCAAAATTAAAATAAACAAAATCAATTTATTCCCATTTTTTAATTATCGTAACTAATTGTTATATGATTTGCATAAAAAAATATGAAAAATTCAATA